TCATTTTTTGAAGGTTATAGCCTTACTTTTTTATCAAAGAAAAACTTTTTATCTTTTTGCTTATTTTCTCAAGGTTATAGCCTTACTTTTTTATCAAAGAAAACCTTTTTATTTTCTGCTCATTTTCCTAAGGTTATAGCCTTACTTTTTTATCAAACAAAAGCTTTGTTTTTTTGCTCATTTTCTCAAGGTTATAGCCTTACTTTTTTCGCGAATTAAAACTTTTTATTTTCTGCTCATTTTCCTAAGGTTATAGCCTCACTTTTTTCTCAAATTAAAACTTTTTATTTTCTGCTCATTTTTTGAAGGTTATAGCCTTACTTTTTTCTCAAATTAAAATTTTTCATTTTCTGCTCATTTTTTGAAGGTTATAGCCTTACCTTTTAATCAAACGAAAGCTTTGTATTTTTTTGCTCATTTTCTCAAGGTTATAGCCTTACTTTCTTCTCAAATTGAAAATTTTTATTTTCTGCTCATTTTTTGAAGGTTATAGCCTTACTTTTTAATCAAACGAAAGCTTTGTATTTTTTTGCTCATTTTCTCAAGGTTAAGGCCTTACTTTTTATCAAATTAATACTTTTTATTTTCTGCTCATTTTTTGAAGGTTATAGCCTTACTTTTTAATCAAACGAAAGCTTTGTATTTTTTTGCTCATTTTCTCAAGGTTAAGGCCTTACTTTTTATCAAATTAATACTTTTTATTTTCTGCTCATTTTTTGAAGGTTATAGCCTTACTTTTTAATCAAACGAAAGCTTTGTATTTTTTTGCTCATTTTCTCAAGGTTAAGGCCTTACTTTTTATCAAATTAATACTTTTTATTTTCTGCTCATTTTTTGAAGGTTATAGCCTTACTTTTCTATCAAACGAAAGCTTTGTATTTTTTCGCTCATTTTCTCAAGGTTTTAGCCTTACTTTTTTCTCAAATTAAATGTTTTTATTTTCTGCTCATTTTTTGAAGGTTATAGCCTTACTTTTTAATCAAACGAAAGCTTTGTATTTTTTTGCTCATTTTCCTAAGGTTATAGCCTTACTTTCTTCTCAAATTGAAAATTTTTATTTTCTGCTCATTTTTTCAAGGTTATAGCCTTACTTTTTTATGAAACGAAAGCTTTGTTGTATTTTTTTGCTCATTTTCTCAAGGTTATAGCCTTACTTCCTTCTCAAATTAAAAATTTTTATTTTCTGCACATTTTGCTAAGGTTATAGCCTTACTTTTTTCTCAAATTAAATGTTTTTATTTTCTGCTCATTTTTTGAAGGTTATAGCCTTACTTTTTTATCAAACGAAAGCTTTGTTTTTTTTGCTCATTTTCTCAAGGTTATAACCTTACCTTTTTATCAAAGAAAACCTTTTTTTTTTCTGCACATTTTCCTTAGGTTATAGCCTTACTTTTTTATCAAACAAAAGCTTTGTTTTTTTGCTCATTTTCTCAAGGTGATAGCCTTACTTTTTTCGCGAATTAAAACTTTTTATTTTCTGCTCATTTTGCTAAGGTTATAGCCTTACTTTTTTCTCAAATTAAATGTTTTTATTTTCTGCTCATTTTTTGAAGGTTATAGCCTTACTTTTTTATCAAACAAAAGCTTTGTATTTTTTTGCTCATTTTCTCAAGGTTATAGCCTTACTTTCTTCTCAAATTGAAAATTTTTTTTTTCTGCTCTTTTTTTGAAGGTTATAGCCTTACTTTCTAATCAAACGAAAGCTTTGTATTTTTTTGCTCATTTTCTCAAGGTTATAGCCTTACTTTCTTCTCAAATTAAATGTTTTTATTTTCTGCATATTTTTTGAAGGTTATAGCCTTACTTTCTTCTCAAATTAAATGTTTTTATTTTCTGCTCATTTTTTGAAGGTTATAGCCTTACTTTTTTATCAAACGAAAGCTTTGTTTTTTTTGCTCATTTTCTCAAGGTTATAACCTTACCTTTTTATCAAAGAAAACCTTTTTATTTTCTGCACATTTTCCTTAGGTTATAGCCTTACTTTTTTATCAAACAAAAGCTTTGTTTTTTTGCTCATTTTCTCAAGGTTATAGCCTTACTTTTTTCGCGAATTAAAACTTTTTATTTTCTGCTCATTTTTTGAAGGTTATAGCCTTACGTTTTTATCAAACAAAAGCTTTGTTTTTTTTTGCTCATTTTCTCAAGGTTATAACCTTACCTTTTTATCAAATTAAAACTTTTATTTCTGCTTATTTTCCTAAGGTTATAGTCTTACTTTTTTATCAAACAAAAGCTTTGTTTTTTTGCTCATTTTCTCAAGGTTATAGCCTTACTTTTTTCTCAAATTAAATGTTTTTATTTTCTGCTCATTTTTTGAAGGTTATAGCCTTACTTTTTTATCAAAGAAAACCTTTTTATCTTTTTGCTCATTTTCTCAAGGTTATAGCCTTACTTTCTTCTCAAATTGAAAATTTTTATTTTCTGCTCATTTTTTGAAGGTTATAGCCTTACTTTTTAATCAAACGAAAGCTTTGTATTTTTTGCTCATTTTCTCAAGGTTATAACCTTACCTTTTTATCAAATTAAAACTTTTATTTCTGCTTATTTTCCTAAGGTTATAGTCTTACTTTTTTATCAAACAAAAGCTTTGTTTTTTTGCTCATTTTCTCAAGGTTATAGCCTTACTTTTTTCTCAAATTAAATGTTTTTATTTTCTGCTCATTTTTTGAAGGTTATAGCCTTACTTTTTTATCAAAGAAAACCTTTTTATCTTTTTGCTCATTTTCTCAAGGTTATAGCCTTACTTTCTTCTCAAATTGAAAAGTTTTATTTTCTGCTCATTTTTTGAAGGTTATAGCCTTACTTTTTAATCAAACGAAAGCTTTGTATTTTTTTGCTCATTTTCTCAAGGTTAAGGCCTTACTTTTTATCAAATTAATACTTTTTATTTTCTGCTCATTTTTTGAAGGTTATAGCTTTACTTTTTTGTCATACGAAAGCTTTGTATTTTTTTGCTCATTTTCTCAAGGTTATAGCCTCTTTTTTTACCAAATAAACATTTTCTATTTTTTTTCCTTTTTTAAGGTTATAGCCTTACTTTTTTGTCATACGAAAGTTTGGATTTTTTTGCTCATTTTCTCAAGGTTATAGCCTCTTTTTTTACCAAATAAACATTTTCTATTTTTTTTCTTTTTTTAAGGTTATAGCCTTACTTTTTTACCAAATAAAAATTTTGTATTTTCTATTCATCATTTCTGTTCATTATTTCAAGGTCATATCCTTACTTTTGTTTTAAATTTATTTTTTGTAACGTTTTGCAAGGTTGAAGCCTTACTTCTCAACCAAATTAATTTTTATTTTCTGCAAGATTTTGCAAGATTTATTCCTACTTTTCATTCAGCTAAAAAATTTCCTTTTTCTGCACTTTTTTTGAGGTTATAGTCTTACTTTTTTACCAAATAAAAATTTTGTATTTTCTGCTCATCTTTTGTAGGCTATAGCCTTACTTTTTTATCAAATATTATAGTTAAAGTCTTACTTTTCAACATAATAAACTTCAGTATTTTCTACAACCTGTTGTATTGTTACAGATTGATGTTATAACCGAATTAGAAAATCGCATTTTCTGCAACTTTTTGCAAGGTTGTAGATCTATTTTTCAACCAAACTAAAACTTCGGATTTTCTACAATTTTTTCAATTATACTGCCTTACCTTTTTACTTTTTTACCATAGGTAAATTCCCCCAAATTTGTCCAAGGTCGTAGCCTCACAGTTCGATGATTTTTAAAAATAAGGTACCACGTTAAAGCTAAGTAATTGTTTATTCGCCACTTTTTGCAGTATTATAGCGTTTATTTTTAACAAAATCAGTCCAGCGCGATTTCTTCTGCTCTTTTCAAAGCTCTCGTATTAGTTTTCAGAAAACGAATCCTTTATATTTTTTTACAGTATTTAACAAGAAAATATCCCTTTTTATGATTTGGCCTAACCAATTCTTGGTAATTTTAATTACTTTTTGCAATATCATGGCCTTACTTTCTAGTGGAATCATTCCTGGTAATTCTTAGCATAATTTGTAAGGTAAAAGCTTTTCTTTTTGACCATAAAACGTAGGTATTTTCAATGGTGGCTTGCAAGGTTTTTTCCTGACTTTCTGAACAAACTAAGCTTTGGCAATTTCAATCTACGCTAATATGGAAATCTACATCAATATGGCTGTCGACTTTTACCAAAGTAAAGGTTTCAGAACAGGAAAGGATCTGATAAAATGACTGAAATTTCACTGGAAAACATATTTCTCATCAACCCAAAAAATAAATATATCTATAATTAAATACTACGCTCGATGAAATTTACTGAAATGAAAAGTTTAAGTGTACCTCCTAGGATTTCTGCGAGATGCCATTACCAATAAAAGCAAAAAAATAAAACTTTTATCCACTTTTAATTACTAAAGCAGCACGGGGAGAGACTGATAAGAAATTATGAGTAGAAAATACAAAGGCCTGATGAAAATGGTGCTCAGCACCAAAAAAGAATTTAATATATAGAGGTGATTGTGTCTTGTTTAGCTCTATCTAAAAATGCTGTTATAAAATAAGATGACAGTCTTTAAGATTTGGTAAGCAAAAATAGGACTGAGATATTCACTAAAATACTACGGGTCACTGAAAAACAGAATAAGATTAAAATTTAAATTAAAAAAACAGATCGATAGGGGATTGCAAACAGCTAGACAGAGAAGTGATCTATTAAGTACAGGCCTATTTTAAAATGTTTTTATGCATAAACATTTTAAAAGTTGCCAAAACTAGAGAATTTACTTTATCAAAAATAGCTTTATCATCTTACAAAAACATAAAAAGGAATACAGGTAAGTGTGACAAATAAGAGCGCTGAGACAAACTTTAGAAAAAATTATACTGAATTATAATTCATTCATCCCCTAAGAAAGCAGTACCATGGCAAATATCAGATCCTTTATAACTTCTTTTGGACATTATAAAAACCGTTCGCAAAGCTGCCCATATACCCAGCCCATCCTTGTTGTTTCATAGGCAGCATTTTGGCACATTTCTGACCAGCTCGCAGGTTTTTACAAACACATTTTATATTGAATCGATATACAGTAAGTGTTCCGAATAGGAGTCGACGTGCATCGTAAGTCGTTTGGCTTTGGTAAAATCGATCTTTACCAACAGCTCTGTCCTTCAAACAAAAGTTGACTGCTTCGTCGCCAGCATCATAAAATCCATCGTGCAAAGTGTTATGATCGCTGGAACCTGCGACAGAAAATGAAGAACGAAATGTGATCAAACAGCAAAAGTGGAATAGCCATGTAACTGTGGAATAACTCACAGGTACATTATTTTAAGCCACGTACTCTATTGTGTACTATGTTCGAAAAGTACTTGACAAAACACGAAATATTTCTATTGCTTCAAGAGTTGTTCAGCAAAGCGGATTGTGCTTGAAAGCAGTGCTGGAGTAATGCATTGCTAAATCTGCTTTTGGCATTCACATTTGATAACTGAACAGATTGTGAAGTGAACTGAACAGAATAATACCAAACCAGACATATGAAATGCTTGTGTTGGTGAACCTTCGCAACAATATCGGGCGATTTAGTCAAAATGTTTGAATCGTCATAAACTCTGAGAGAAAAAACAATAAAAAGAGCAGTTGAAAATCATTTTTTAGGAAATTGGAAAGCAAAAATTAAGCAAAAATTGAATTTTGAATAAATGCAGAGATTTGTAATCAAACTGTCATTTTTCGTCAACCGATGCTGTCGAAAAAGATCCTTTAGAACTTCAACTAGGCCTAACGAAGCAGCCTTTTTGGATTTCCTACCTTTGCTCCCAGGGTGATTCTTTCTGTATTCACTGATACATTTCTCATCTTTCGGAGTTAATATTCTTGTTTTTGCAGGGTATATCCAATAAACTGGAAACACAACATCAATGGAGTCTGTGCGTGCAAATCGGTCTAGCTTTGAGCGAAGGGCATCTGTGAGCCCCGGCGTTGAGATCAGTCGCTGAATACCCCCGTGATCAGGAACCCCGATATGGCGCGAGGATCGATGACGAACAACCTCAGCGTTCGATTTCTCAATGAATTGTGACATTTCTAAGTCATGATATTTCGCTGCAAAAGAGATAAGCAATGTTTAAGATTACGGCCAGAAGCGGTTACAGGGGGTCAAGGGGGGCACAGTCCCAGGACCCACAATTTTGGTAGCCAGTAGGCGCCTCGCATCTAGGAAAAAGATAAAAGTGTATAGAATAAGGGCCCTGCCGATGTTTTCGGCCTCGGGCCCTACATTCCAGAAAAACACCACTGATTACGGCCAATTTTAAAGAAAATACTTCTGGTACGCTGCAAGCATCATTCTTCAATTTCGAATGTTTGATCAGAGAACTATGGCTGGATAAAATAAAGTTTCTCGAGCTTACCTTGAAATAAAACATATACAATACAATACATACTTGAATCGTAGATTGTTGTTCCAGGAAACTGTGTTTTCTTGTTCATCACGTGCAGTCGACTAAAACCCTTCTTATTGAAGCGAAGCATGCATGTATCTGCTCGACTTTGCTCATGTACATTTGTTCCCTTCACAAAATCAAACTCACCACCTTCTCCTTCGTGACCCATACAGTCAACAGACCAGTAAAGAAACAAATCGTTGCCAATGCCTTCCATGCTTATCGTCAGGGGTGAGGAATTTGCAGCTGCCGAAGTCTTGTAAGGCTTTTTGAGTTTAGGTTTACCTGACTTTCCGTCTAATACCATCAACTGAAAGAAAAACATTTCTTAGACTCAGCTTACCTTAAGCAGAGCTTTGATACATAGAGGCATCAGTTTACTTGGTGACGTAACATAAAATAGTCCGAATTCGCAAGGTTTTGAAAGGCTCTTAAAATTTACCAGTGAAATCAACTATTTTCGACGCTAAAGGTAATTGCTCTACAACAAAGAGCCCTTCTCTTAAAAAGAAATAGGTATTTCGATGCAAAATTCGATTTAAAAATGTGTTGAGGTGGTTTAAAAAAGCTGCTTTCTTAATAACTTCGTCACCATCAGAGTATAGATACATTCTCAAGACCTGAAATATCTGCCTATGTGTTCGCAATAAGAGGGATTGCTCAACCGATGGGAAATTAGATCAAGGCAATTATAGGAAAAAGTTCAACTCACGAGTGAATGATAATAAACTGGAAATCCTTTTCCAACGTTGAATCTCGCCAAGAAATCGATGGTATTGTCTTCATTGAAAAACCCAGCAGCTGGAATCCTGAATAAAAGATTGATTCAGATAACCATTATGCATTAAAAAGCATGAAATTTTTCATGAATACCATTTATACTGCTTTGGAGCGATGGTATTACCATGAACATCAAAATGCTTTACAGGCTATTACCATTAACTTGCTGCTTGCTGCTAATCTGCCGTACAACATAGTTGTTTATGGATGATTCACTCGAACGTAAAACTTTCCTGTCACAACGACACTTTATTTTGAATCAGCAATTTCTCAAAGCTGTGAACTAGACGTAAAATAAATTCAGAAGAATGGTTAGCTATGCTGGTACTCACGAATACGATTCAGAATTTTCCACGCTGTAAGACCAGATTGATTTAAACGTTTCACCATCGAAAGCAGCAACTGTTGAGTTGAAAAATGCTGACACGATGTCAACAGTACCGTCTTTTGTCAGATCGATCAACATAGGCGGATTCATAACACCTTCAAAAAATGCAGAGCATAACTAGGCAACTGATTCAAAGAGTTGATCATATCAAAAGATCTGCCTGATAGAATCAAGAAGATTGACAAAAATAGGTTTTAATCTATTTCCTGGAGTAAATAAACAAAATCAAAACTGATCTGTTGCTCGAAAACTTGCTGCTTCTTCAGCATTTAGAATACCTAAGTTGTATGGGTTGCTGCATGTTTAAAAAGGTTTGGAACAATATAGATGATAATTCTAATTATGACGATAATATAGTTCGCAAAAAAATTGAGTACAAGAATGAAAATATAATAGTTTGATTGTTAAAAAATATAAATTTTCAACAATCAAACTATTATACTTTCACTCTGGTACTCAATTTATTTGCTAACTGTATTATCGTTATTTTTGGATGAAGTACCACACACAACGTACATATTAGATTGGATAATTCTAGATATCTGTGTATGTGTTTAGCCTTCGATGGGAATTCGATATCATTTCTATTTTCTTTACCAAGCCACATCAGAAGATACATTCCTTGAGATAATATCGGGTTCCTTCTTGATGAGGCTAGTTTATATCAAATATTGGTATGTAGTCATACATATACAAAATGAATTCATTTCTAAACGTCATCAAAATGAAATATTGCAAACAGCAGGCAACTAACCTAATGAATTATCTGAAAGCATAGTCTATTCGAGAAAGGCTATGGCTGTTGGATGACGACATAGCTATAAAAATCTGGAACCAACCTTTTTGCTTGTCAGTGTAAATTGCCAAGGCGTTGTGTATTTTCCCATAATACAAATCAGTCAATTTTATAACATACAGACTTCCACCATGAGTCTCGCCACCGGTTCCGAAAATTACAATGTCTGTTCCATTTTTTAGAGTATAAATCAGAGGCGAAAAGTAGCTCTCCTTTTTATCTGGTGTTTCAACCCATCTTAGGATTCTTCCTGATCGCCCCGAAAATATCAAGATACGACCAATAAGCCTCGTTTCGCTGTACGCATCCCTGCAAAGGTAAACATACGGTAAGAACAGATCTTTTAAAAAGACTTGCAATGCAGTAAGACATGGCTGCTGTGGCCTAAACAGACATTAAACGTACTTGTGTCAGACAAGCAACACACTTATCGATTCGATTTGAGAAATTCGCCTACCTTTTACAGGCAAGTGTGTCCTATTATAACTAACTGCTGGAAAAATATTATTCTAAATCCTTAAATCACACATGTGTCTGAAGAGGACTAAAATCTTTAAATTGACAGAATTTTCTACAGAAAGATTTAAAAAGATAAGAGATAGCCATAATGGTTTGACAAATGAATACACATGCGCAATTAAAGGATCACATTAGAAAGGAGGCATCTAAAATTCGTTTCCTAGCAATTTCTGTATGTTTAAACAGTATACATACGCCAGGGGGTCACCACCGTGAATTTGAAGCACATCAGCCACACCGTCATTATTGAGATCTTTAATGAACTGTGCCGTATATAGGTTCATGACGTCACTTCGTACATGCTGGTCCCAAAACGCCCAAAGCAACTTGCCATCTTTGCCACTAACAGCATCAAACATCCCACCCCTGCCACCAATAAGGCAATCAGGAACTCCATCTTCATTTATATCCCCATTGCAATTAACAGCGTATAACTCATGACCAGAGTAGTGCCTCCATAACTCATGACCAGTGACTCCGTCAAGCGCTAAAGCACCTCCAAAGCATGGATAGGTTCTATTGAAATAAAGGTCGCACACTTCACGTTTTACATGGTACCCATCCACACCAGTACCAAACGCAATAATTGGATCATTGATCCCATCCGAATTCACGTCGATGAATCTGACCGCTGTTTCAGTTTGAAGCTTTTCAAATGTTTTATGCCAAACTTTAGTGATTTCAAAATCATCGCAAGGGGCAACAGTCTCTTTTAGAGTCGTGTTTTCGAATTCATTGTATTTAATATAGCGATGATGGTGTTCACCTTTTTCTTTTCCTGTGTAGATAGCTTGAAGAACGAAGATAGTCAATCCTAGTACACCACAGACAAACAAAACAATCCATACAGTAAGGAGAACGCATGAGCGAGTTGAACAGCACTTCCGGGGTTTTATTTGCTTCACATGAGTCTCTTCAGCATCTAAGTCATCTTCAACATGTGGCAACTTTCTGTAGCCTTGAATACCGTTTTTGGGTTTCATATTAATGCTATTATCCCCTTGGTCAAATGTGTTTGTATTATTACAGGAACTATACTTAAACACTGGCGCTTGGTAAAAGCGTCTCAACGAGGCATCAAGCTGATCTTGCATATTTCATAAACCAGGTCATTTGAAAGCATTTTTCTGTTCACGTTTTTATCTAGCGTAATAAAGAAAAATTGCATTAGTTGTGAATAGTTTATACACAATATGAGGTCCTAATTACAGGTGACATGGTAGTAACAAGAGAAGAAGTTAGGAAAACCAAAAGAAACGATCTGGAGGCTAAAGGGGAGAAGGGCAAAGATAACTGGTACAACTTAAGAAGAAAAAAGAAAGGGACATATTTGGTTGGCCAAAAGTACAAAGAAGTGCCCAAATAGACCAGATTTCATGAAAAATTTTCAAAGAAAGATTAAGAAGATGCTAAAAAGAAGGAAATTTTGAAAACAACAATGAGCAAAAATATGCAGCTTGTGACACAAAGAGCACATTATATTTATAGCTTCATATCATTTCAGACTTGGTATATTCTTTTCCTTTATCTTTTTCAGACAAGAAAATCCATTCCTGGGTTAACAAGCCCAGCAAAAAAAATAGAACATTTCAACCTGACATACTTTAAGCATGGAAAATAAAGAACTAAGATAGTCTAACCAAAATCCCCCCGATTTTCCCATATTTTCAAGTGATTTTCAACACAAAAGTTGGCGAAGGAAAAGTGGCAGGAAACGGTACTAAAACATGATAGAAATGTAAGAGCAACAGCTCATTTGCTTCAGCAAGGCTTGCTCTTGCCAAAGGTGGTCTTGTTTTGGACAACAGAGCTCATCCCACTGAAAATTGGGATGCAAAAGGGAGGTTAATTGAGGGGTTTTAGTTAGACTATCTTAGTTCCTTATTTTATCTTGCTTCAAGTGAAATCTTCTTTTAAAGACTGAACAAAGTATTTCATTCTGGGAACATGTTTGTAGGAAAGGATGAGTATAGTAAACATTTTTGTGACATTTGCAAAATAGTGAAAATTTTATAAAGTAACTGTGGAGCAAACACATGCACAGAAAACATGAATGTTCCAATTTTAACTTGAAAATTCCTAAAAAACCCAACAAAAGGCTAGTACTAAAAATCATTGTCCCCCCCCCATCCCCATCAGGGACAGACACTTGGTCAAAGACTGGGGGCAAGCTAATTGTCTTAATAAGATGACATCACATTCCCCATTGTTTTAGAACAAAAGACATTTGTCCTCCAAAGTATTTGGGGGTGACCACCTCCTTGTCCCCAGGTTTCCACCACTGCCCCCCCTTTTTTTAAAGAATATTATGAAATGTATTTCCAATATTTTGCGACAATTTGTCAAAAATCAGTGCTTACTGCAAAAATAAATTGGGATGATTAATAGCTTCATCAAAGTAAACAAGTTTTTATAATGTTAAAAGTATGACCTGTTTATAACAAGCAGGATTGATTTTATAATTTAAAACATCTTTGGTTAATTTATGTTTAACAATGGTAGCATAGATTAACACAGTTTGTTCAATCCAAAACAAAACCATCAAATTATCAAAAGGTAAGGAATCAACCTCAGAAACGTGATATGAAGCATAAATTAACATTATTAATATCTGTCTCTATGGTGTTTTCATAAATGTAAAATTACAGGTTTAGCAGAATTAGCATAAACAGTCAGATTTGAAGCACTATTTCCAGTAATGAAACACCATCTCACTAAACCCTAGCTGCATTTACACTTAACAAGCCATAGGAACAGTTGCTTGAATATAAGTTGGTATAAATGTGCAATCATTCAGTCAAAAAAGGAAGAATTCGGAATTTGCATGCATGTTCTACAAAAATTAACCTTCAACCCATTATGCTTTACATAGCTTTTCATTTGGAAAATTTTCCTGGGATTGTTTATCTAGTATTGTTTATCTAAAGGTGTGTACATTAAGTACAAAAATTTGCGGGGTTACATCTTGTGAACTAGGCTAAAGTCAGCAGCCAAATCAAAATTGTCATTAAAACTTTTGAGGAAACTAAATCAGATGATGGTGACATGGGAGTCTGTAATATGGGTGCCTTTGATATGCTAATAGATAGAATTTCTGCCTTTGAAAAGGGGTGCAAATTTCAGAAGAAAACACTTTAATGTCATTGAAAGGGTAACTGCCATTGGTCCCAAAAATAGTAGCTGTAACGGGGGCTGGGTTTTCATGTCTGGAGGGACATCCTTTACCTTTGAGTTTTTACTTATCTTGAAGACAACCCCTCTATGGGGACTTTCAGAAATATTTTGATCAGTGAAATATAAATAGTTTGCATGAAGTCCACTGCAAGAACAAAACAAGTTTAAAATATAGTCCTTGATAAGTTTCAGACCTTGAAGGGGTCTTAGGAGATAGAATGGCTCAACAATGACCAGGTAAGTTGACTAAGGTAGACAAAAAGAGTTTAAGACTAGGGTGTCAATGACAAAATTTAGCATTAGGTCTATATGAATAATTATCTGATGGGATAATTGGATAGATAAGATGATATGAACAGCAAAATTATAAAAAGTCTAGGAAAAACCTCACGTAATGCAGAAATGATGTCCAAAATACCATGAAAAGATATCAAAGATAGCAAGCAAATTGTTTTTGGCTTCTTGTTTACAAGGGAAAATAAACATCATAACAACTTTATATGAGCTTTATATGATTAGAAATTGCTTGGTTTCTAATAACTGTAATGAAAAATTACAGGTATGCAGTGTTATTAGCAAGCATTACCTACTATTTGACATGAAAAAATATGTACCAGTTAATTCAATGTACCTGCTAAGTAATTTCAAGATTTCATGTAGAAAAAAGATTATTCTTTTACGCGGCCAGCTAAAGTTGCGGCGTGTTTTCATTGTAGTTGCGCTTTGGAATGCCTATTGACTGTGCTTTCATTTCACAAGGAGAAAATAATGCCTAGGCCAACTGAATCGACTGACGTTTGACTTACAGTTGAGCGAGTCAGACTGTAAGTGAGCAATTTTAAATGAAGAAAGTCGGAACGTGGTACGACTTTTAACGAAAAAGGTCGTTTACTTACCACAAATAATTCATTTCTACCTTTACAAGGAAGTGCCTACTAAAGCAATCGTTGCAACCCTTTTGTTGTTGTCACTTGTAGCATAGAATTTGTGACGTCATAGAGTCAGAAACAACAGAGTGAATTAATTTGGCAGTCCTTCTGCCTGAATTGCCTTTACCTATTGAAAACGTGCTATTTATTTGCCTTTTGAACTGCCGGCATTCGGTTTTAGTTGGAAATGTGGAATTAACTTCTTATCACCACTGTAAAACAATTTCAGTATTTGGAAAACTACCCGCTTTACACAAGGGGCGAAGTTGAGAATCGAATTCGATACCCTGATTGCAGACTGAGAATATTGCTTAGCGGGTGGAGATTTACTTGTGATGCCAAGTGGTGAAAAAACTGAAAAGATTTTAAAGTTTGATATAATTCCGGAAATTTATAACAAATAATGACTGAAGAAACAACAAACTCAATGAAGATTCAACTGCAATATTTCAATTTAAACAACTACCTAAAACGATCACATATGGCTAGAAGATATTTTATCTTTCTGTTATCTGATAACAGAAAGATAAAAAAATTTCATTGTAATACTTTCTTTATTTCATCATACCACAAATTTTAACATATCGTTAAAATCATACTAACAAATAACAAGATGCATAGAAAAGATCGGCCGAACCTGGCTGCATTTTGTAAACGAATTCCAGGTCCTTTAACTCACGGATTTCCACATTCAAATCTGACTCAGTGTAATTCCGTGCGTTTATTAAAAAAATCTATAACCCAGGGTATTTAACCAGCCTACATCTGAACAAGCATTGGAAAATGGATTCGAATGTTTTTCGTTGCACTTGATTAAACAAACGGAGGTGTACGGTGGGTGACACGTGAGATTTAAAGAAAAACAATGCATGAACAGAACGGCGAAATTTTTTTAAAAAAATGACAGTTATTTTCTTATCCCTATCGACTTTCGTAACTAGAGTCTAGTAACCCAGCTAGCTTACGATCCCGGGCAAGCGGTGGTGAGATTTTATGCCCCCTACCCGGCTCAATGTTGATATCTCTGCTACTATAATACATATACTTTTGATGAGGGGAGGGGAGGGGGAGTTTAGTGGTTAAGAGGTTGAGCTTTACATGCTACCGGATACCTGTTAAGAGTTTTTCTCAACAGTTCTTTCCAAATTGTAGGTTTATATGTTCGATAAAACAATGTTACTTCCTGAAATTTCGCTAAATTTGAGAATCAATCTGAATACCACGTCATATTGTTCTTTATTGATAATTATATTGTAAAATCTCATTTTAAACTACAATAAAGGAAAGAAATACGTTTTCAATACCGGTGCTACAAAAATCAGTAAAGAAACATGCTGAGATAAAAGGGGACGCATTCTTCTTATAACAGCGGCAGGAAGAAAAATAACTAAGGCACGTTGCAATCATAGATTCAATATAACTTCAATTTCAGGCATCTCTTATCACGATCAACCCTAAATACAATAATTCTAAAAATGATACCAATGGACCTAAGTGCTTCTAATAAGCTATCAAGTCAGGTCACCGTGTGTCGCCAAAATACTCTTATATTTTGTCAAAATGTCTCTAAAATCATTTTTTAAAAACTCAAGTTCCATTTCTCTTTCATTTGAAAGCGAAAATTCGTCAGGTCCCATTCCACATCCACCAGAATCTGAAACACTAGAAAAGCCAGGATGCACCATAAACTCGATTGTTAGCAGCTCTTTCCTTTGATCATTAGGCAGAGAACGGTCTATTATGCAATCGAATGCTCTGTAAATATTCGATTTTGTCATGTTCCTCCCCATTGTGCTTAAGCCAATGAAAAAGTCGGAATAGCTTTGAAACAAGTAGGAGTATAAGCAATATCATTCCGATGAAAACAGTAAAAAGTCAATTATTCATGAAAGAAATAATCCCTAAAAATACATTCTAAATTAGCAAAAATTCTTATATACCACAATTTATTATAGGGAAACAGTAGAAAAAGTATTCAGAAGAAGCTCAAATTGAATATATTCTAGTGTCTGATCAGAACAGGAGATCGTGTAGACTCTAACGTGGCGGAGGGCTTCGAATCTCGATGATCAGATAATGGGGTCTGAGAAATGCGCAAATCTGCAGTCAGTTTTCGCAAAACCTCTGACATGGCTAATTTCAAGCTGGTTTTTAAAAGGGGAAGTTTTGCAGCATCCCACAAGGGCGTTCCTAGGAAAAGCTCCGAAACATCGTTCTGCTACTGCCCCCCCCCCAATCTTGCCACTCTGGCTAGACTACGCCACCGTCAATAAACAAACTTTCAATTGAAACTGAAAAGATAAAACATCCAACATTTTTGCAAAAAGCATCAAAAAGTAGATAATTTGGATGGTATATGCAGTCGTACCTGATTCCTCTTGCTTTGAATATTTTTGCAGCAGAAACTGAATTTTTACAAACTTCCTCATAAAAATTCTTTTGAGGATGAGCAATCCAGTTACAATGATGTATGAATAGTTCATTCGGAATTCTTGTCTCAACTATATCATACGACGTCAGGACTTCTGCAAAGATTTCAGACACTGTTGGAAGGATGTGAACATGCTGATGCCCATCTACATAGGACGGTAATTTTCCAGTTAAGTTTTTAAATCTATCAACTTGTGCCCGCATTTCCACTTCAATCTAAGGTAGAAAATTTCTCTGTATAAGTGATTGAAATTACGTATGGTTGTCTAAGGAGGCAATATTTAGGAGGTTCAAAAAAAATCAGATAGGAAGTCTTGTGAAGTTGAAAAGGAAGAAAATTTAACCTGTTGTTACTGGAGCCAAAGAAAATTATTCGTTGAATAACAATTCCATTCACAGTATTATTTTCATGTTGATTTTCAAGGCACTCCTGCTATAATAAAAAGTCTGTTCTATGCAGCAATTGTGTTAAAATTTTTTAAAACTGGAGCCTTCATTAAAAAATACTCAACCCAAGGAACACTGATTTTCTGAGAACAAAATGTAATTAAATGTGCAAACAACGTGCATGAATTTCATAAGCTGATCATGGGAGTGACAGATGCAGCATGTTTGAGGCAGCTTAGTATGGATGTTGCCCATATTGCAAAAGAACAGCCCCAATGGAGCCTGAAATTGGATAAATGTTGCCTGATAAGGAGGCTGCAGCCCTCCCAGCCCCTATGACTCCCATGCCTATGAAGCTGATGACCAAAGTTCTTAGTTATTACTGCAAGTTAAAAATTGCAAAATATTGTGATTTTCTTTTGTAACGAGGAAGAAAAACAAAAATATCCCAAAAGCAAGAAACAGCTTTTGTATACCTGTCTTGTAGAATTGGCAAACAGGTGAATGTATTGAAGGGCAGGGTGGGGGAAAACACGGAATAGTTTGAGGGCCATGGATTGCTAGCAGGAGAAGAGTGACCTTTTCTAGTTTTATCAGCAAAATCATGGTTTCCTTGCTATTTCCTCTCTCATTCAATCTCTTTATCAGATTTTTCAAAGAAACTATGAAAGAAGCATTAGTTTGAATTTGAATTTGCTTGGTCATTGAAATAATTTCTTAAATTCTGAGTATGGCATTTTGCAAATTCTTGAAAAGTTAGCAGAAAATCACTCATAATCTCCCTTGCCTTTGGTTTTTGATTTTACATAGTTGCTAGTAGTTGCTAGTAGTTGCTAGTCACATATTTGCTAGAGCCTTTCAATCATTTAATTGGGTTTTAAGCTTATTCTAGTATTTCATTGAAATTTTGTACTGCAGGAAACCAATTTCAAATTATTTTTTAGGTCTATTTCCAGAGCTGGTTTCAGGTTCACAACCAATAATGTTGTGGTCTGGGGGCTATAGGGATCAGGATATCAATTGGTAATACTAATACTAATAATGGCATGGAAAATAGGCCACTGGCCTGTGCAAAGATCTCTTGATTAGGTTCAGGTCTGCTCTTGTTTGCTTATCTCAAACTTTGAAAAAAGACAGTTTTGAAAAAAGTAAGATGGCATGTAAGAATAAAGGCAATTAAAATTTTCTTCTTCTCATCATGATTTTTCCAGGGGTAATTTTTCTTAAAAAACCAATCAGTTAGAATTTTGAAAATGGAGAACTGAGATAAACCTAAACACCAGGGTGGAATCCATGTAAAGCTTACGCCAGACATACGCCAATAAACAATAGAAAGACATGGGAAATCGTTAGTCTATGCTGAATATCTCTGGCATAAGCTACATGGATTCCACACTGGCCTGAACATAGTCTACATATCAAATTCAAATTAAGAATACAACTTCATGGAGCTTCCACAAGTGTCACAGGCATGTGAACTTGCCCATGCAAGAAAAAATAGTTTCAGTCTTGGTCACAGGTTGATGGTTTCAAAGGACTAACTGGGAAAAGATAAGATAAGATACTGTTATGCCAAAGTATCTAATCCCACTACAGCAAAAAATACATTTTCAATAGCTCAAAAGAGAGATAACAATGTGATTAAGTAAGATTTTTATCAAATAAAAGTATTTACGGCAGTGGCGTACCCAGGGCTGTAGAAGTGGGGGGGGGTCTGGGGCATAGCCCCTAGAATTCTTTTGGACCACGCCCTTCAAACACTCGCAAATACGGGGAAACGCCCTTTTTGCAAAATTTCCCCCCATTATTTGATTCATGTTAGCTATGGCAAATAGCAAAGCCTTTTACAATTGCTATTGACACAAGCACACAGTATACTACCCCCCCCCCCCCCCCCAATGAGTTTTACATCGTTTTTGGACAAATCTCAAGGACAATATTTTAGAAAAGTGGAGGGGTCCGAACCCCCCAATTCCCCCCCTTGGGTACGCCACTGATTTACCGGACCAAGCATTCATTAGAGATATTGAAAGTATTGACCAATTTTACATAAAAATCTTAAGCATACATGCCTCCGATTTTTTTATAGATCCGCCCTTCAATTTGTCTGCAATTTCATGCTTTGTTTGGAAAAAGCCTTGTTTGTTGAGCAGAGAAGGCACAACTGCTTCATCTGAGATGGGTTTCCCTTCAGTGAGATTTAAGTGAAGACCAATGACTGGCATCGATTTGCAACAGCTACGGTCGAGACCCACATCTCTCTGTTTATCGAGCAATGATTTCAAACCGTCCACTGCATCGTGCACGTCGACAGCATTCACGAGAAGAGATAATTTGTCAACTAGTCCTTCACTGCACAACTCCAAAATCCCAGCATTTCTTCTTTTACAATATCCAAAGTCGTCTGCAGTAATTTTCACCTGCAACATTTCAAAAATTCAAACAATAACCAGTAGGAAAAATTCAAGAAACACATTCTACCACACTTATGGTGTGGTGTAAATAAAAAGTAACATTATTTACACATTTTCCCGGTGTCCATTTTGAATTTTGTTAACAAAACGAGATAGAGACTGTTGGTCATCGACAAAACGAGGCTATTACAATTTATTTTCGGGAAAAAGTTACAGTTATGGCCAAACCAGTGGCGGGAATTGCAGGGGTGTGGGGAGGGGGCAACCAACCCAAGGTTTTGCTTATTTGTCGGCAAAATTATGTCATTTGTCGGCAAATTTGCTTGCTTTATTAGACATTGCCCCCCCCCCACTTGAAAAATAAACTTCCGCCACTGGGCCAAACAATCAAACGTCCATAAAACATTACCCAAAACTGTTTTATAATCAATTATTGACGATGTCTTATTGACCTAGCAAAACAAAACAAGAAAATGTCAAAACATCTGACGTGGTCAAGCGCTGCCGCACAGTTTCCTACAGTTACTGCGATCTATTCACCGTATATGCACTTGCTTTATGGGGAAGTCAAAGGAACTCAGCACTTCTTATCAAACATAAAAGCAAAAAGATGTTTTTGGAAATGTTTTATGGGAATCGAATTTCCTTGGACATCGTCAAACATCGTAAAATACGGTTGCTGAACGAATAAAACGTGTTTTATTCAACATTATTGGATTATTCTTTATGTCGCTATTTGATTCGTAGCCAGTGCTTAAAACATGTAAAATTGAGGCTTGTGTTGTGCCCGCGAAAAAAGAGTGGTTAATCATCTACATTTCGTTACCAGTAACATATTTCGTTAGAGGGCAAATATGACTTTTCAGTTAAGATCACACGTGATTCTTTCGCGAACGAGGATCAGCATAGGCACAGTTTTTCTTAGGCATACCCTGCCCAACTCTGCGTACCAGAGCCCCCAATTTAAAAAAAAAAGTAAAATTATGCCCTTCCCTCTTTTTGTAGTCTCTCTCTTTTGTATATTGCACTAGGTTCTTGTCAGAGGATAATTGGCAATAGGTTTTAAACAAGCAAAAATTGGTAACCGTCAGGAACGTAAATTCCGGGGAGGGGGGTGTGGGGGTGTCACTTTGAATAAGTCTGAATTTTGGAGTTATTGGATAATTGAAGTCATAAATCCAATGCTGTCAATTCAGAAAGAAACGACCAAGCCATGAAATGTTAAGGTTTTTTAATCAAATGTTTATCAAATTTTTAGTTCAAAGTTAATATTGATTTAATGGAAGTCGGAAATTTTATACCCTTCACACCCACAAATATATCCGTCAATTTGCATCCTTGGCAACCAAGCCATTGTCATGTCAATCCGATTTTGAAGAGCATTGTTTGCTACAAAGCTACAACTACCATTCTATTTGTCTAGTCCTCATTCTGCTATTTTGTTGTACAAATATGGATAGTTCACCAGCTTATATGGTTAAAAAACAAATATTGATACATTGTTAAGCTTATGCATAAAACTGATCAGAAATTAATGTTGTTTTTGGCTTTTGTAGACATTTGTACCGACCTTTTTTCTCGCTAAATGAAACTTTTGATGGCTCATTATCAGATGCGGTTTTAATGGGGTCCGGGGGGCCATTGCCTCAGTCCCCGCGCTTATGGTAGCAAAAAGGCGCCCCACACCTAAGAAAAAAGATTGTAAAGAACAAGGTCCCCGCATGTTTTTTTGGCCGGGGGCCCCACAGTCCCTAAAACTTCTGCTGCTCATTCTTTACAGGACCTGCTTTGTGGTAAAATTACCAAAAGAGCAATGCATTAGTCATAGTCAGAGAAAGCATTTATCAATGCGAAGTTTCTAAGAATAGCTTATGACTCATAATTTGCAAGTATTCCTTATTTTGTATAGTCTCTAAAATGTCGTTCGTATAAAGTTTGGGACACTTATTAGGTAGACAATAAATACTATTTTTTTAATGAGAGTTTGTTTTCTTCTAAGAGCTTTAAAAGCTTCTCGTTACCAAAAAAGAATTACTTTGATGGGCTTCTATTTTGGTGTTTCTTATTCCATTATTTTTCATTACCCAAAGCCTTATTATAACACAAACCAACGAATTTTACAAAACCAATTAACTAATATGCAATTCTCGTACGTTTTTGCACTCATATAAAAGTATTTTTAATTGAAGAACAACGATAAAATGATTCTGCTTTTCCAATTTCATAACGAATTGCTCGATGCAGGTATAGAAATAGTGAATATAGCAGGTGGTGTACTTTTAAATTCCTCACAGTCTAATGCAGTGGCTAGACGTAACCACACTAGCTACCATCAATCATATTAAAATTATGTATAATTAATAACTGCAATAATCGTGCATCTGTTGATTCCACAACTGTACAGCATTTTTTGCCAAGCTTTGCCTGCTGAACTAGCTGAATGCTTCACAGCAGAAGAAGAGAGTTGTTAGATGTATCACACAACATATAGTTCCACTGCTTTTATCCAAGAATTTTGTTGTGTAAATTGAGATGTCTTGATCACAACACAAGCGGACCTTGGTCTAGAGTTAGTTTAAGTAAGTACAAATAAGGCTATCAATATAGATTATCAATATAAAAGAAGAAAAAGAGTCAACAGTCAATATATTATACTCAAGGACAGGTTTAATCTTGCGTCTAGTTTTCAAGGACAGCCACTCAGGTATAATCCAATAGCTACATACATCTAGAAGATTGGAGCCAAAAATCTATGATTATCTTTAATATAATGTGTCCTTTCGTTGTCAATTTGGTATACGAATTTTGAAACGTTTATCATTGGCTTCTTGCTAAAGAGCACACGTTACAAGGACGTTATGAGTGACAATCTACATGTTTATTCATCATGTCAAATCAATTCTAGTTCAGGTGAACGTAATCTACTTCTAAAGACAACCTAAAATATCTTTTAGAAGGAAGTCGGGTTTGAGACATCAGTAGTCAATGAAAAAAAAGTTTTAAACATGTAACACTAGAAATTTTCAAACGAGTAAGCTCAAAGTTAATGGAGCTTACTTAGCTTTTCACTGAGAAGACCATAACAGTTCTCTTCGAGATATCATCATTTTGGGAAATAAATTCTGAAGGACATTGTTTGTTCGGCAATTATTAAAGGTGACTAATGAGCCCTTGATTGTATTCTAATGAATTTTAAGGGAAAGCAAAAGAGAAGAATCGTCAAATTGCTCGACAAGATGGCTGAAGGTGTTGAAAAGAGCTTAATGAAGTTTTACAAATCGCAAAGCAGTGACTATTCTCAGTTGAGAAACGAAACAGAAGAAGGAAATGAATCAGAGGATGAGGAAATTTTTAGCATGTACGTCACAAATGAGGGAAGAGGAGAGACCAATGCAAACTATATGAAGCTGGAAAGAAAAGAAGACTGGGGTTGGACAAAGAATAGGCAAGGCAGCTGCAGAGTCAAAACAAAGAAATCTGGTAGCTGCTGCTCCTTTTCATCTCTGTGTATTTTGATACTTTGCACCATCTTTATCATAGTCACGATAAGCACATTATCTGGTATTCTTGTTAAAATGGACGTCAAAAGAAATTTTTCAATTCAGAAGAAAATTCTTCCTCCAAAGCAATTCATCACGCAAGGTATATGGAGTTCTAATTACAAGAATTTCGTGACTGAAGCGCCGATTCGTTTTGTTGATGTAAATGAAGATGGCATTGACGATATCATCACTGGATTTGGAACCATTTTGGACGGACGCGGGGGTAACCAATCGATCTTACCAGATGGAACGCGTCCTTTTTTTGGTGGTGCATTTGCCCTTGATGGAAAGACTGGATCAGAGCTTTGGATGCATTATACAGATCACGAAGTGTTTGCAATCAATTGCAATGGAGATTTGACACAAGATGGAATTGCAGATTGCTTACTTGGAGGACGCGGTGGAGTTTTCCTCGCAATTAATAGCAAAAATGGATCGTTGATATGGACATTTTCGAACAAAGAACTCCACAATAAGGGTATGAATTTTTATACTGCCCAGTTTATCCGTGATTTGGATGGAGATGGGATAATGGACGTGCTGCAGATCCATGGTGGCGATATAAATGCGTATGTATCTTCATATACGCGAAAATACGATCGGATAGAATCTGTTTTTAACATTTTTTACTTTGAAATGACTTGATATATATTTGCACTTGTTTACATTTATATACCTGATGTCTTTAGAAAAGAAGAAAGTATCATTTATCACAATATCTTGCATTCCTATTCTAAATTGGGATACTTTCAATTTTTGTAACACTCATATCACTGGATATCACTTAATATTGATTTTGATGACAATGCAAATTATGCTTTCTCTCGATTCCATTCCTTGCCTAGGTAGAGTATATTTCTGGCAAAATAAAGCCGAACTATGGAGATTATTAATTAGAAATAAAAATAATTAGATGAAAGGATATAATGTGTGGTTTAAATAAAACATTGTACAGAAACAAGTATAGGAAGGAAGTCCCCCCTCTCGTATAAGCCCCCTCGAATAGGCCCACATCCAAGAATATCGAAAATAGATAAGCCCCCAGGGGGCTAATTCGAGGATTTACGGTATTCACTTTAAAATGTGTGAGAAGGAAGAACCGCAGGATAGGCTGTCCGCCGGATTCAGTGAATCTTGCAATGAGTATTATATAAATACGAGGATAAAATTCAGAAACAAAGCAAAACAGCGACGAGAATCCAATGTTGTGATGTGAGATGAATTTTCCAAAATAAAAAACGAATACTAATATTTCGCCCCGGCATACAGGGCTTCATCATTCACTTTAAATCCTTGATTCGCTCAACGTTATTGGGTACACAGTCTTGTCACATCATTATTCGACGATTTCAATTTCTCAGTGAGCCGTATAGCAAATCAAGATTATCTGGGAAAATTATGATTGTGAGCGGAAAAAACGGCAACGTGCTGACATGGTCGGAGACTCCTGACAAGAAAGAGAGCTACTTTTCTCCATTGGTGTATACAGTGGGAAATGGCACAGAAATGGTCATATTTGGTACTGGTGGGGAAACGCATGGCGGATCCTTATATGTCATACCACTGAAAGATCTGTATAAAGGGCGAATTGAAAAAGCTGTTTCTATATACAAGGACGCTGATAAAGGTACTCGGATGTATTTATTTATATAATCATTAGACATTTTCTTTCATTTTGAATATATGAATTGCAATTCATAGATAAAGGTAATCTTTTAAAATTCTGAACATGAGTTTCGTATTGGACGTTGCAAAGTTTATCCAAATTAGCAAATAAAAGATAGTGAGTAAATGCTTTGCCTTCAGACCAAAGTTTCATTTTGCTGGCTGCAAGACTTGATTAGTACTTAATACAATTCAATTTAACTCTGTTTTTATATTCTCTCGGATGAGGACCTCTATAGATTTTGCATTTTGGCTTTGTACTCTTATTGTACGAAATTGAGCGATGGAACTGTATGGAAAAACACTTGCCAAGATGCATGGCAAAATGAAAGGTAGAAGGGCAGATTTGATGCTAGTTCTGTACAATTGTACGTGTTTATAGTTACCTAGTTTTTTTTGTTTAACAGGCATTATGAATCCCCCAGTACTTGTTGACTTGACTGGGGATGGCACCAGTGACATTCTGATTGCTTTCTTCAACTCGACATATGCTGCAATAAATGGGGAAAGTTTCATTATCATTTGGACGTATCATATACCAAACTCTGAAACATATTCGTGAGTATTTTTTCTTTACAAGGCATTTCAAATGATCTAAAATTGATAAAAACAAATTTAAGGGTGTTCAACTCCTATGCGAGCTTTAGATTCTTGAGAAAGGGCTGTTATACCATTGTTCTGATCCAAAGTCTCTTCAATATATATATTGTCTATCAATTTCCAGTGCGTTTTACGGATTTAGGGTACCAGTGGGGGCTTATTCGAGGGGGGGGGGGTGATTGACAATTTGTAGTTCAAGGGCGTATTCGAGGGGGGGCTTTTTTGAGGGGGCAATTCGGGGATTTACGGTATATTGTATAGCAATTTCCAGTGCGTTTAACTAGGATTGTTATTACCCCATTTTTTTCTCAGCGTTTCAGGCAAATATGAACACAAACTGTAGCTAAAGAGAAAATTACAACACAGTTTTTGAAGTGAAATTGTGGCTAAAAACTAAAAAAAACTCTTCCGTCTTCTCCACGAAAGCATACTTCTTGTACAAAATGTAAAATTAAATGAAATAAGCTAAAGTGACAATTATCTTTTCAGGGTTCCAACTCCTGGTTATTATAACAATGACAGCGTGGTAGATGTAATGATCAGAGGCAACGTTGGGAAAGGATTTCCAGTTTATTACCATTCTCTGGTGAGTAAATAAGCCAGCCTAGTCCAAGGATGCAGGGCAGTTCAAGCGAATAATATCATTTGCATGTGGTGGAAACATTGCATCTGCCTTGACTTTTATGGTCTCATTATAACCCTTCAAGTTTGTTGTCTGCATTAGAGGTGTGAATTTTTTGTAGAGGGGAGGGGTGAGCAATTAGAGGGAAACATTATTACACCTGCTTTGCGAGAATGTGACTTTGCCTCACCTATCTACCCATAAGTTGCCCATCCAGTTTGAATCAGTGGTGGGTCAGAAATCATCCTGTTAAATATCACGAAGATCAATATCGAAGTTAACAAGGACAGAGCAAGGCGTACAAATCCTGTTCTTGTACTCTTCTGTAGAAAACGATCATAGTGCAAAACCAATACGAGTTGTCTCTGTTTGCTTGGCAAGGAAGGAGCAAGAAATGGGCTGGACATTTATGAACAAAGCGAAATTATAATTGATATGTTTCAGCTTTTGAAATTAAGGTTTGCTGGGCTACAGAGAAGGTTCCAGATGATAGGAAGACGCTTGTAGATGCTTTGATTGCGCAACTTCATTTGGCTCGACACAACATATGTAATGTTTTGAGCAACATTCCTATAAAATAGGTTGCACAAGCATGGATAAGAACCTACTTTAGGATTCAATTTTTTAATTCAAATATAAAGATTCGTCTCAATTTTGCATTGCTTGAGCATTCAAATGTTTTTTGCCAGGTTACAATTCTGGATGGTCAGAAAGGGGTCCCGATTACAAAGCCGTTTAAAACGTCAGTTGGGATGCATTCGTCACCACTGTCAATAGGTTTCCAAGGATACGGTAATGACGCGTTCCTGTATTGGACAGTAGACTGCAAAGGGCATGAAGGAGAAGGCGGGGAATATGGCATGCTCGTGTCTAATGGCATCCGAACGGATACTTGCTCGTTGAGATATAAGACGAAAGAAATAGATAAACTACACATTGCCACAAATTTGGCGGGCTTTCCTGGAATTGACCTACCTGATTTGAGTAAGTATTTATAATTTTGTTGAGATACCTTTAAAAAATGTTAAATGACATTCGCGAAAAAAGATACAGCCTTGTTAATTTTTTTGACGACCTTGTTATCATTTTTATGTACGAAGATTATACATTTTATGTACGAGCAAATTAACGGGATGGGGGTGTAGTAGGATAGTATATCACGTGACATTATGCTAACCTCACTTTCACTGATATACAACCTTTAGTAAATAAAGAATGATTAGTCAGTTTATATTCTCGCTACAAGTCGCACTATATTTCTGTATTGAAGACTACTCAAAGTAATATGTCCAACTAGACCTATCATAGTAAAATGGGGAAGGGGGGAGGATGTGGGGGAGTGCAACAAGGCTTTTTACTTGCTACCTTGTTTGCTTGGATTATGATGAATCAATGATAAGCTTTTCGTATCTCCAAGAACATGCTTGTATTATATAGGCCCTTAAATGCATTCTTGTACTGAAAATATCTCTTCACTATCTATTACTATTTTTCATCCGTGTTTTTCATCCGTGTTTACATTGAGCCCCGCTCAACAAGAGTTCATAGCATTCCAAATCCATCATTACTGAGTATTACTGTACTTTTAAATTTATTTTTCGATGCTTCATCCAACAGAGATTGTGGCTGAACAAACTTCTCGACATAAATGTACAGGAAAATGTCCACGTCACATGAACAATGCTTACTCTTCCAAACGGGGACAAAAGATATCGTATTTACAGAGAGTTATAGGAACTGGTGGGCTGACCAGTCCAATGGAGAATTCAGTAGACGGAAATGGTAATATGGAATCGATTGATGCTGTATTCGCAACGTTTTCGCTGGAATCATCGATAGATGCAGGCATTACTAAGAAAGAACTCCACTGCATACGTGAGTAGAATTCATTGACGGTAAAAGTGAAGCAAGCTTTGTAACCTGAAACATTTTTTCAGTTTTAGGTGGAAAACCTAGGAAGGATGCAGTTTTAAAGATTTTTCGATTCTCTTCATTGATGTGCTTGAAGGCGCGTTTAATATCAAGCTCTTGTACAGGTTTACTTCAAAGACAGTCGACAGAAACTATAGTGGCTAAAATCGCATGTCAATCAAAAATTAGCCAATCATTAAGCGCAATATCGCTCACACCATTAATGATTGGCCAACAGTTGGCAGTGGTGGAAATAGCTGAACTCTTCATTCCCCATAATTTCCGCCACTGAGTACTTGGTGTTTGCTCGAGGTTTGATTAACAAAATTCTTAGTGGCAGCAAGTTTACACTCACTTGTTACTCAATTCTTAACACGCCAGAGGACCGCTAATTTGAACAGTTTACCGATAGTACCTAGGTATTATAGAAGTCTAAGAAGTAGAGAAATTGTTTCTTTCACAAAGCCATGTTTCTTTGACCAAAAATCTTGATATCTTTCAGGTCGACAATATGAAATCAGGAAAAAGCAACTGCCAAAGCACCAAGTATTTCAACGGAATGAAAAAGCCGTAAGGAAATGTTTACAAAAGAAAGAACAGATACCGGAAGATTCTGAAAAAAATAAACATTCTGAAATGACGATCTACCGTGTTAAAATCAAACCGATTTGCCAAGTGCGATCACAGAATCAGACGTGTGCGAAGATATTGCCGATGGTCAGTCAAGAATGGGGTGGATACATGGGGAGCTTAACGAATGGATACTTCTCCGGAAAGAGGCAAGCGAAAAGGAGGCCCTAGCTGGTTTGGGGATGTAGAGCACCAAAAAGTAAATGGTTTGGGGATGTAGAGCACCAAAAAGTAAATGGTTTGGGGATGTAGAGCACAAGGCACCTTAGCATCGCGGAGGAAAGCATACTGACAGTGAAAAAGACAGAAAATCAAGCAGAGACCTGGGCTATTTGTTCATTAAAAGACAGCTTAAGATTGAAATGTCAATAATATATTTATAGAAAGCATAAATTTGAGCATATGACCCAAAATTTAAGTTTGGAGATAAAGGACTGTGTCAATTCAAGATATTTGAAGACAATGATAAACAAACTTGGCTAGCAGTTTCTGTTCACCTAATATTTCTAACGTGAATCTTTGAGATCAACTTATATTGGGATTCTAAATTTCAAGGCTTTGAGTTAAATGAAACAAGGAAATAATCTCCAAATCAATGTGTATTTTTATGTTATGACCTTGACTTCGACAAAGAAAAGTTAAAAGAATATTAAGAATGATTACACCCCTAGAACGACAATTACATCCCTAGAAAGTATTTCCAACTTTTACTACAGTCGATTTGATCTATTTTAGCATAGAATAAAGGAATGAATGATTATTTGTTTGTGGGAAGCTTGATCGCATGGTTTTTTATCACAAGGCTATTTCGCTATTTCAAAGCAGTTGACCAGCTCGTGAAAGGCATAATTCAATAAGATAACACATTTTAACAGACAAAATATCAGGTGCACTTAGACAAAGCTATTACCCTGATTTAAAAATTCCGCGTAATGTCAAAACATATGATAATGAAAAATCAAATGTGTTTTCTAAGGCATAACAGGACTTTGCAATGTTATCAATAAATTTAGCAGAACAACGCAAAGAGGATAAAATAAAATGGACTATGAACGGTGAAAGGGCTAAGTTACATTTGTAATACCCCATGAATAGATATTTAATGTGCAAGAAAGGTAAAATAGCATTGAAAACAAATGTTATTAAAGTTGAAAAATCTTTTCAAAACGGCCTACGTCGCCGGTATTTGCGATCAAATAGTTGTGTGCTTCATGTTCACAAACGCCTCCAGATTCTGTCGAATTGAGAGTTTTAAAACAAGAAAACTTTTTTCTTCATTACTCTCTCTTTGCTTTACCTGGTGGAGAAAATATAAAAATATGATCACATTTGATGCAATAAAAGACGAAGGTTGGATTTTATTTGAATATTACATATTACAAACACGCATTCACAGGCAGCCACTACTACGAGCCTGTGGTATTGTTGTTTAAATTAGTTCCTCACGCCACTGTGGGTAGACATGTATTTGCTCTTTGCTCGTAGGCTTGGAGCCTCGAGAGCTTTCAAGGAACAGAAGGAATAACTAAGGAGCAAGGCTAGAGGCCAAGAAGGCCTAAGTATCTTCGAAAAAATATAACATGATCGTTAGGCCACAACATTTAATGTGATTGTATAGAGCGCCCAGTTAGGAAGCTCCAGGGCGTGTTATGCCTTCACAAGCAAACGAAAATATTTTAGGCTTTTTGCTTGCATTGGACTAATTACTTAATGTCTCTGCGGTGTATGACAGCAGAGAAGTATTTGGTGGCAAGTCAGTGGAACACTTAAATGTCGAAATGCTCAAAAATGATGTAACATTGTTAGGTAATTAAGTGGTAATCAATATTTTGTGGGGAATAGACCGGAATTAAAAGCAGGTCATTCACAGCACCAAGGGATCGATATGAGAAACCTAACAAATTATTAGACGTGAAACCATCTCATTGTTACCAGCATTCGGAGCTAAATCCTGCGGAACCCTTCTTTAATAGTTTCAATCAATGTTTGGAATACAAAATTCAACATCTGGAACCTTTGATGTTGCAAGTGACAAACAATGGTTGAGCCTTTTCTCTGAAACGTACCTGATGATTTGAGCAGGCTCCGTGAAACAGTCTTCAATATCTCATCCAAAAAGATAACAGGGAATGAAAATTTCAACACTGCCATCCATTGAGTCCAGTTGAGCGGGGTTACGCGGAAAATTGGCTGTAAAACAAAACCAATTAAAATAACTTCAAATAATTTTATAACAGCAAAATTAAAAATTGAAGCAGCTGTCAATCAAACATCGGTCGACTCAAGTTAAAGCAAAAAGGGATTGTCTCGGTTAGTTTATTTCTCGAAATAAAGCATAAGCGTGATGCAGAAACAGGTTAGTTTTTTATTTTACACTTGAGGTTGCATTTATACTGAGTTTCTATAAATTCTCATTAACGCAAATCTACGATAGAACTAATAAAGTAAACGACTGGAAATCTAAGCTTCTTCATCTTCACGTGCTGTCTCAACTAAAATCGCTTCGAATAGGAACCCACTAGCAAAGCATAGAGAACAAGTCAACCTAGCATAGCCTCATCCTAAGCATACTCACGCACCTTCATGAATGGAACATAAAGAATAACAAAATGCATCATCATTGAGCCTGTTATTGCTGTGATCAATGACCAGTTTCTCCATGGTGGCATTACGAGCAAGCTCTGGTTTTCACTGATGCTGCAAAATACCAATACATAGATCCGGATTGATTACTTTTGTCAACAATACATTTTCAACAAGCAAAGAAACAATAATAATAGGATTGCCAATAGGTAATTTTACATTATACAATATTTCTTCCATCAAGCTGTAGTTAAACCTCCCTTTTTCGAAAAAAGCGTATATTAAAAAAATCCATATGAGATTCATAGATTGTAAACACAAAAGCTATCAAATAATTGCCGCCTTATTTCATGACACAGAATTTAAAAATACCAGTAGAAGACAGAGCACCTAATCTAATCTGACAAAAATTATCTTTACAATGCTTAGTTAACTACATGAAAACACATAAATTACGGCTACACTGCTTCCAAGGCTTGACGTGTTACAAATTGGGCGCCATATAGGTAATATGGACACCGATATGCACGGTTGAACTTGACAATTTTCGCACAACAGTGTGTTTGATATAACCCAGTATGAAAGTATAAAATGAAATATGTCGACAAAACGTACGGGCGAACAAGGATGACACATGCATCTTTACATAACTGAGCTAGCATGAACACTTTATAAGGGACTAAAATGAAATATTGTATTTTTTTACTGAACTAAAATGAAATATTGTATCAGAGTTTCGAACTTTCCAACTGTTCACACTGAGATAAGATTGGGGTTAGATAGAGCTCATGATACTAAGTATCTTAGTGCCAGAATCGATGAAAAACTTACTTGGGATTCGCTAGGATTAACTCCACCTTTTTTATATGTATTTTTATAATCATTATTTTAGCCAATTTGTGAACCAATTCGAATCGAAATGAATGCAACTGACGATAGACTCTGGACAAAGATGCCTAACAATCACCTGTTAAGAGCGTTGAGCATTTCTATGGTAACCAAAACAGACAGAGCCATGGTCATTGGTTCCAAGCTTTTGAAGATATTGCAGCTGACGCCAGCAAATGCAGCAGGGTCCAAGGTGCACTGGTGGTGATGTGAGAGTTGGTAGAAGCTCAACTGGGGGCCAGCCTCGTAGTACATAAACCACCAAGCAGACGAGCCCACTGTAGCCACCCCAACGTAAACTGCAATGCAAAGTGTAGTCATGAAGTATATAGTCATGGTTAACATGTATGAGGAACATGGTATAGACAAATTCTAATTAAACATGACTTTATCTGGTTATCTTTTGATGTTGAATACGAGACTGGCTTTGACTCCATAAAAACAAAACCTTGACCACATGACTGCTATCCTATGAGTAAACTGAGAAAGTCAGAAACTGGAAAAGCCTAGATTCCTCAAAAAGAGCATAAAAAAAGAGAAGATATAGTTGGAAAGATCAATTTCATTCCGAAGGCCGTTAAAAGAGTCGGTATTGCTGAAAGTGGAGTCTTTCCTCCTTCTGAAGGACTACCCACTATATGCGAAAATATTTGTTACAGTTCTGGTAATACCAGATAAAACGAACCAGTTTGAAAAAATTGCTGTAAAGATCAAGAGATAATGCAAGCGATCGGAGATAATGGCTCTAGAAATCAGAAAATGCAAGCACTGTTCTTAATTAGTTACCTCCAATTGCCATATATCTGAAGAAGAGCCATCCACTGATAAGAGCTTCCTTTGGGTCGCGAGGAGGCATTTTCATGATGTCAACTTCCGGGGGATTGAAGCTAAGAGCAGTGGCAGGTGGACCGTCTGTCATGAGGTTGACCCAAAGAAGCTGGACAGGGATGAGAGCCTCTGGCATTCCAAGTGCCGCAGTGAGGAAGATGCTGAAGAAAAAAGACACGACTTTAGTGATTATAATGATACCTCATAGTACTTAAAGGATAATGAAAATGAACGCTCTGAGAATAGAATTTCTTTGTCTAATCTACACCATCATGTTAAGACTGAAGCAAACAAAGTTCCTACAAACGATTTTGCATTATGTCCTTAAAAGGTATCAGGAGCCTAAGGCCACTACTGAAAAACAACTCTTCCTCTACCAAAAGATCTTCGCATAAAGATTGCATAAATTTCCTAATGTATTTTTGCAATAGCAGCTGCGACTCTTTGGTGGTTACTTCATTACAACTGTCTATGCTATATACATTAAGGAATTTCATATTTGCTCTTAAAAAATGCAAAAGGTAATTGGAGATTAGAGCCATTCATGGTCTGCAAAATTGCAAAGTTCGTATTTTGTTTGTATTTGTTTGCATTTCTATAAAAACGACTGTATGAAATTGTAAAAAAACTGACAATATATCACGTATTTACATTAAAATTTAATCAATCATCTCAAGGACACACACATTTTACACATAATTTTAAAATGATTTGTTGTTTGGTCAAAGTCTAGATCCTAAACTTGTTCAAGACATTCTTACCACAATACTAGTTAAAGAAATTGCTACTTTACCTTACAACCTCTCCTATATTTGATGATATAAGATAGCGAATGAACTGTTTTGTGTTGTTGTAAATGGCTCTCCCTTCTTCGACGGCAGCCACGATGGTAGAAAAGTTGTCATCGGCAAGCACCATTTCTGAAAAACAATCAAACTTTGTTAATTAAATACCCCCAAACTGAGCTGTCAAAGCTAAGTACCCACGAGAATGTTTGAAAGATCGCCGTTGTTCTTGAAAGAGATAATTTCAAGCATAATTGAAGTATAACAAGTTCAAGGTCATGAAAATCATATTATTTGTCATGAAAATCATAAACTTGTGCATCAGAATTGAGTTTTAAGTATTACAAGGACAGATTATTCAAAAGCACCTAACCAAAATAACCATCTGCAATACCAGCATTTGAACGCCTTGTTCCCTAAGACTGTTGTTTTGAAAAAAATAGCAGTTTCGAAAAAATCCTACAGCGCATTCCAATATCTCCCAAAAATGTTGGTTGTAGAGCTAAATATCATAACCATCTTTCCGGAAGCAGCTGGAAACTCTAAATGTTGCATTAAAAAAATTGTTCGGAGAGGAAGAAGGAAATGCAGAAAAAAATATTGAAAAAATTTCTGCAATGTACCAAGACTTTGCCAGGGGTTGTAGAAACCTTTTATCAAGCTTCTGCATCACTCACATTTTCTGTCAGCACTTTTTATGCTTATACAATTGTGAAATGGGGCTACGAGCCGAAGAAATAACGGAAATTGAGTTTTACCTGAAGCTGATTTGGCGACGGCGGTTCCTGAGCCCATTGCAACTCCAATTTCGGCTTTCTTCAAAGCTGGAGCATCGTTGACTCCATCCCCAGTCATGGCTGTGATTTCTCCAACTCCTTGTAGATACTCAACAATTTTGCTTTTATGGTTAGGTTCTACCCTTGAAAACAGCCTGCAAGGACAATGATTAAGATGTATCAAACTGCGCCTAGGACAGGTTCTAGCTTTAAGATACGGTTTTGATAGAACAGAAGCTTAAACTTTAGCGATGCATGTTGCAGAAATGAGTGGTCTGTAATCTGTAACAGATTTCTATGAGCTCGATAACCATTGAAACCTCTATGAACAACTCTATAAAGCCTTTTTTGCAAAAAAATTTAAGTAGTTGTGAATGAAAAAACTTACACAGAATCTTACAACGTTTTATTCATTCATTCATAATTAAACCAAATTCAAAGCCACGTATATATAGAGGAATAAACAATATTAGAACAATAGTATTAGGACACGATACCTAGCTTTACAGCAAGCCTCTTTCTGCTGAGCGTGAGACAGGTCATCAAATTCCCGACCAGAGTAGGACAAACCTGGAAAAAGAAAATCATTATTAGGAATATATAAAGATGGATATAATCTGAACAATCAATCCTAAAAAAATACAAAAAATCTTTGCTTTACAAACACGGTTATATAGCAAGATGGCAATTAAGGATATGCAATAAAATAAAATATATATGGAAACACATTGGCAAGATGCCTGATTGGCGTAAGCTACCTTTCGTGCTTTCGTTTTCGTCAAATATGCCAATTCGCCTGCAGATTGCTTCAGCTGTGCCCTGGGAACGATTTGCAAAAAACGTCAACATGTGAATAGGAAACAGCTAGGTGAAGTGAGCGAGCAACAAGAGAAGGGCATTATCCTTTACTTGCTTTAATAAAATAAATGAGCTGGCAAATATTGGCAATAAAGAGGTCGGATGGAACACGATGGAACAGCTTCACAATGGAAGTAGCAAAGACGATAGTTCAACTAAGGATTAAAGAGAGTATAGTTCAGAAGAAACTAAGTCTTTCGATTATAAACACGGGAGGTATTGCACATCTACCTTGTTGTCTCCTGTAATAACAATGACGCGGATGCCAGCTTCTTCACATTCACGAACAGAATCCTTGACTTCACTTCGTGGGGGATCGAGCATTCCTAGGGCACCGACGAACGTCATTCCACTCTAAAGTAAACAGAGAAAGTTAGAGTATTCTACCTCAAACAAATTCACTTCTTTTTTCAACGAGTCCTTCCGCATTAGATCATAATTCATATGGCTTTCCAACTGATGTTGTAAGACATCATATATCATTGCACACTGTAGTGAAATTGAGTTTACAAGCTAAATACTAACCTCGTATCGAATGAATTGTGTGCAGTCGGCCAGATCCATTGCTTTAACATTCGGAGGACTGTCTACAGTGGCGAGGGCAAGACATCGCAAAGTATCTTTGCCTATAGAGAAGAAAAGGCAGCACAGCAAGCGTCAATGTGAGTTGCCAACATAAAGTTTTGCATTTGCAGTGATTACCAGTTTTTAGAGCAACCGAGTAATGGTATACTTTGCTTATGTATTCAACAAAAATTACTTCAAAAGGTGTCATTGTCAGCGAATTGTTATTTCAACGAATCTTTGATTGATATTGAGTGTTTGCGTTGAAAATCACGTGACGATAACAGGCCTCAAGTGTGAATTTAAACGTGAAGGGGGTATAACTGGAGTCGACTGTGATTGTATTAAAGCTACGACAATCTTGAGCAGAATAAAACCTATCAAACAAAGAATAGATAATTGAAATGAGGAAATAATATGTCTTTCTTATGATACACCCCTAACAGAACGGCATTAATACACTGACTAAATTTGCAGATAACTAAAGATTCTGGACGCATACCTGTGCCGTATAAGCCAATTTGTTCGATTATTTTGGATCTCAACTCATCAGTCATTTCTTTGCGGTCCTTTCCTATTCTGACATACGAACAACGATCCAAAATGCCTTCAGGAGCGCCCTGCAAATTATTCAGAAAATCTCAAACATCCAGCAATACGTTGTGAGATCACTATGTCAAAATATTTCAATGCAATGACAGGTTGAAACAAGCCACTTGTAAGAGTGCATTACCTTTACGAACATTTTTGGTCCATCTTTCTGATGTGATCTGGTAGCAGGCCCATTGCTTTTTGGTGAGCAGTAAACACTCATCGATTTCCGGTCACGTGAAAATTCTAAGGTGAATTCCTAGAAAAAAGAGCAACTCTTAATAGGTGGCGCTAGAAACCTGAAAGCGATTTTAACGAAATAGAAGTAATTTACATCCCGGTTACGCAGAAAAGTCAATAGAGCTTGAAAGAAGAGGCGAACAAATTGTCTGTTGAAATGGTCTCACAATTGTCTGTTACATATCTTTTCAAAATGTTCTGAGCCAAACATGTAATGAAGACAGCAGGAAGGCCTTCAGGAATAGCAGATATTTCCACATGGTTGAATGACAAGAAAAGCACCTATTTCCTGATAAAGGTAAGGGTTTTTTCTAGATACACGCCGAGCCTTGAGATCACAACAGTTCAAAGTAACAAGTATTCAGGCTATCATGGAAGCAAAACTAGAGGTTTAAGCTGCCAACCTTGTTGTACATTGAACGCAAAGCATCGTTGCAAGCGTGGGCTTTTTCGGCCTTTGTTTTCTTCGAAAGATCCACGCCAGTGATGTTTATCTTTTCCACAAATACAATCAACGCTGTTTCTGTAGCTTCACCAACTTTCTCGTAGCATTTCTTTGACTGTGGAGACAACATATGAAGATAACAGGTCTTTCAGACATTTCATATTATAGAGCTAAGAATTCAGGAAAGGGCACGCTTGCGTGGTAGATGTAATGTAATTTACTATACTTTTCAACTGTAACCTACACAACCCAAGTTTACTGTACAAAAACAGCAGTTAGTAATCTAAAATTACATTCTTGCTTATTTTTATTGCCAAAGTTGAATAAAAAAATTCGAGAAATCAAGCGGCGAAAAGATACAAAGAAACTAGAAACAGATCTGCACATTTCATCTTTCAACTTTCACACATCAGACATTATCCTCGTCCTTAACACTGATAATACTGATAAAGAAAACTTTCACAAATATAACACGAGTGTCTCATCAAAAAAAATTCACTTATTGTCAAAAGAAACATAGTTTATATCTCTATATTTCTTTTATCACTACGATGTAGACTGGATTGTATTTGCGCTAAAGGTTGGAACAAAACAACAGACCTCATTGTAATCCACCCCAGAATCATTGCATAAAGAGCAGATGGTGGCCAACTCTTCTAACGCCGGATACTGTTGTATTCCAACTGGTGCGTCATTGATTGTGCTAAAAAGAGAAAGAGCGCTATTAACATAAGTAACCACTGCTGAACTCCAACGTGAAAGATGTGTTACAAAAACCTTCAAGGACTAAGCAAAAATTTTTAATTGAATACTCTCAATGTAAACATGCTTGACTGCCATAAACATAAAAAAAAAATAATTGTGTAACAGATTTTCGAAAGTTCACGAAATAATAACAGGTAATTTCATCCTATTATAAAAAACCATAGTTCGTTAACTCATTAGGGGAGCTGGCCCTTCAACAAGATCAAAAATATTAATTGATTAAAGATCAAACTCAACTCACACAGATCCTATCGGCTCATAAGTTGTTCCACTAACATCAAAATTAGCAAATTTGGCAGCACCATTGTCTAGGTCATCAACAACAAACAACTGCAAGAAAAATTCAAATTATCATTGGGAAATTTGACGAAAACCTTTTAAAACGTTTGAGACAACCTCAATGAATCAACTCCTTCATTAATTTTACTATCACCCTATAATCTTATCACCAGTGTCAGCGCTGGGGGACGCTTTTCTTTGCTTAAACCTGCTAGAAATCGCTGCTGGGCACATCCACAGGATATGATAAACAATCACTGTTTTTGAGCTAAAGGTATGTATCTTGAGTTATAGTCTCTTGCAAGCGGTCAAATGATTGGTAAAACTGGTCTGTATACAACACTGAAATGTTTCTGTTAGTTAAGAGCGCTTTGCTAAAAGTAAATAGTAAAAACAAATTATGTTTTAAAAATACTTCTACTTCATAGACTTTTACTCTAGATTCTGATACATTAACATGACTCTGCAATAAACATTCCTGCCGATAAAGTTTACAAAATATCAAAAGTTATATTGAGCACAAAGATAGTTGAATTACCTTGCTGATAGACATCTGGTTAGTTGTAAGGGTCCCTGTTTTGTCAGAACAGATGACAGAAGTACAGCCAAGGGTTTCAACTGATGGTAATGATCTTACAATTGCATTTTTTTTCGCCATTCGTCTTGTTCCTATAAAAAACAGACGGAAAGTTAAACCTCATCCTCATACTGTGCAAAAAATGTCAGAGTTCTTCTATAGAAAAAAAGTTCAAGAGAACCAACCATCCTGGATGCAAATCGATGTATTTAAGAGCCATCAAAGATGACAGCTATGAATTTCTAAGATCAATCTTGCAATCATGGACCGTATGATACTTATTTTCGTATTCGCTAGGGACAATTTTAACCGAAAGCATTAGGCAATATTGTGCCTAATTTATGGTTTACAAAATTAAAAGAGATGGTTTATAAAAGGGTCTTGCCATATTTCATTCAATGGCTTTATGAGTTGATCAGATATCGAGAGGAAAGGTTTAGAAAGAAGCAAGCATTTACATGGAACAGTATCTCTGAATCAAGGGAAAATTCTCACTGTATTGCTGTTTGATATAAAAAAGGTCGAGATGTAGGCTTAAAGATAAATATTGCTCTGCGCTCCACATAGTGGTGACTTGGGTTTTTGGAGACTAAATCCAGACAAAATTTGACGAAAAGTAAGAAACAGAGAGATAATGAAACTAGGTACAAATTCACTTAATGCCCAATGAAGCAATAACAAAATGAAGCTTACCAAGAGCTAAACATGTAGTGATGACAGCAGGAAGGCCTTCTGGAATAGCAGCTACAGCCAAGGCAACAGCTATCTTAAAGTAGTACACAGCACCCTGAAATTACATCAAAACATCGTAAACCGAAGTTAATTACAATCCACAAAATTATGCAGTCTACTTCAAGGATTCATACGATATCATCACTGAAGCCAAAATCTCTCGAATTTATCTTGATCAAAGAACATAACAAGGCAGGGTTTCATGCTGTATTTGAATTTTGACTTCCAAAAATTTTCTTCGAACATCACTGTCAACACCCCCTAACCTCTCTTCAAACACAACACCCCCTAACCTCTCTTCAAACACAGCGCTGTTTATCACCCCCAAGCATATGACATCAATGAATCTATTAATGATATAAGTTTTCTCTATCTAACGTTAAGCTCATACCTTGATCCACGAGCCACCATGAACTGGGTCACTGAAATGTCCAATATTAATGGCCCATACAGCAATGCATATCAATGTGATGACCTTAAAACGATTAAAGCAGTGACGTAATAAGACCACAGAAAAATTATTCATGATTTATGAAAAGAATACAATCTAGCGACAAGAATAACTAAGACGATTTAAATGCGAGCATCCGAGGAAGGCAAACAATAGATGGGTGTTACCTTTGATAACTGTTCTCCGAATTCATCAAGCTTCATTTGCAAGGGCGTTTTCTCATTTTCAGTTTCAACTATTTTGTTTCTAATTTTACCTGAAATGTAACACGAACTGAGGCATCAAGATAATGGCAGATTAGGTTAAAGCAAGAAATGAAGAGTATATTACAATTTTACAAGAACCTCCTACAGAAAAGCTATAAAAATTCAAGGTGTCTAGAGGTGTGGTGTGGAGAGGTGTGATGTGGAGAGGTGTGGTGTGGAGAGGTGTGGTGTCGAGAGGTGTGGTGTCGAGAGGTTTGGTGTCGAGAGGTAGTATTGACTGCACTGGTAACTGCTAGTTGTTAGTGCCAATGTGCATTATAACAATAATATTATATGAATATAGTTAACGTACCTATCTCTGTATTAAGTCCAGTACCAATGACAACCCCGATACACTTTCCCACTGAAACATTGGTGCCCTAGGACAAACAAAGAGCATAAGAGTCTGAAACAACAGACTGCTTAAAATACAGTTGAATTGCAGTGATGTTTTGCGGGCACCGGGAGCGTTGAACTCAAAACAACAAATTTTCGACCACAGGCAAATTTTTAACATGGTTAAAGTTAAACGGCACATCGCCAACAAAAGATGCTACAAAAGGAAACTCCTTAGCCTTGACAACATTTTCTTTTAATCTACTGTAATTCACAGAATGTGAACACGATTATTCTTACAGTATAGACATTTGAAAAAAGCAAACTATACTCAAATAACAATGAGTTGAATTTCAAAAACATTTTAGACTGATTAAATCAAACTGGATAATTTGCTAAGCAAAGCAAAGAATCAAACTGGATAATTAGTGCATCACTGGGCAATGACAAGTAGTGCATCACTTACCGAGAAAAGCATGTTCCTCTTGTCTTGGTTAACTGCTCTTTCATCGTGAATTGGATCACAATGCTTAATTACACTGACACTTTCACCTAGCAATAAATAAACAAAGTTAGAACTTGGTAAATAATGAAAACATGGAAATTATTGCTACTTTAGCAAACAGATGAAGTAAACCCTACGTGAATCCTAAAGCAGCGCCTGTTTTGATGATAAATTTAAAGTTAAAATGATTTTCCATGTTTGCCCCTTCTCTCTTTGTTAGCTTACGATAGTCTTTGCACTAACACGCTTCTGTAATCTTTTTGACACTAGCGCAATTCAGATACTTCAAGTATACAATGTTCTACAATCTACAATGTTTGTCTCTAAAAAGGCCTAGCCAATGACGAAGTCAAAAAGGCAAGTCCACCAATCCATTATCTAAATTCTTCAGAGGGGCATTCAGTTCCGTTATTTTGGGTTGACTACCAAGTAAAGAAATTGATAAAAATCGTCATAGCATTACAGCTTATTCTACAGCGTGAAAAGCGGCGCATCGCTGATTTAAAACATAATACATGAAAAATACTACAATGCCGTATAAGCAGACCTTTTCAAGCCCGATGCGATTGCCTGATAATCGCATTAAGAGTGAAACATGAAGTGGAAACTTAGAACCGTCCTGTTCTATACACTTAAGCGTAGAACTGAATATAAACATTTTTACTTCCAACTCAACTCCACCTCAACTTCAGTCAAATGCCTTACATATATTTCTACTACCTTTTGTGAAGTATTATTCTCATCCGAGATAGCACGTGACTAGCTACCCACGTTTTAAATAGCGTTCGCATCTGCTATATTCTTCCCTACAGAGGTTCATTTCCAGTTCAACTTTAAAGGGTTGGGTTTTCTTTATTCCTTTAATTTCAAATGCCAGGCACAGTAAAACTGTAATCAAATCTTTGGCATGCTTTTGATAGCCCGTAAGGTGAATGAAAAATGAAAAATCTAATAATAAGGTTCAAAAGGAAGGAGACCTCATCAATGAAAAATATTTTAATGAAGGATTGCTACCATATGAATAACGTAAAATTTTGAAAATTTAAAACAAGATTTTCTATTAAACAATCATCATTACATAGAAAAGAACCTTGAGGTGGATGAACGTGCGATAATTCTAATTTTATTAATCGTTTGTACACTTTATAAATCAAGTTTAACGAAATAAAAAACAAAACCTTGGTAATCGACAAATATTACTAAAAGTGCAATTAAAAGCGACCTCACTTAAGTGCCGACAGTAATCAAAACGAGAAAAACATCATTAATTCTCTATCAAAGGCATAATCTACTTTTTATCCAACGTAAGAACCACAGTTTGATGACTTCTCAACTAAGATTTTCTAAAAATTCCTCAAATATTATTTGCAGAAAGGGCCGAGCTGTTTGCAACAAGGGCTAACAGCATTCCTGCTCTTCTTATGGCCAACAGGCGACGTAAATGGTTCTATCAAAGCCCCCACATGGCGGTCCATTTTTCTATGCGATTATGATTCTGTTGACACACTGGACAGCGCTTTAACGAGGACACCTATCAATGCGAATATGGTTTTCAATATGAATAGGCAGATTTGAAGAACTACATCTTCGCGTCTTCTTTGGAACAGCAAAAGCACAGACCTCTGTAAACGCCTACGTCATAGTAAGAGTGGGCAATCCGTGCAGAGTCAATTCAATCGAAGCTAATTGGCAGCAATATTGGCCTTTGGAACATGCACCATATGTCGCCCTTCACAACTATTAGGCAGAAATAAAAATACTGCGCTGGAATCAAAGTTAGGATCAAGATCAACCTTGTGCCACAAATTATTTTGGTATTAGACAGAATCTTTTCAAAAGGCCAAAAAAACTCTGCATGACTTAAAAAATTGCTAAGATCGGAAGCTAGAAAGCCATTTAACAGAAAAAATCGTGAATTTCGTGATATTTACATACCCGTGAGAATTGACTGATCCACCCTCAGAGTCGTTGAAGTTATGTCTATTATCCGAGTATCAGCGGGAATTTTGTCACCAACTTGAAAAAATACGATATTTAAATTACAAAATCTTTAAAAAAATTCAAAAAAACATCTTGAGACCCATCTAAGCGTTCTTAACCTTTTTACTCGACCAGGCTCAAGTTTTTTATTCATAGTATCAAAAGGTGCTGGCACGAAGCAGAATGTTCTCAAGAAAAACGCTCTAAGAAATCGAGCTACTCATCTCTCATTATCTTCTTTTTGACTTTCCATTTATATTTTGCAAAAAGAAGTTCAGCAAATTAGTAGTAAAATCCCAATTTTTCCTTGCTTTGATTGCGCAAAAAGGGGGTATATTTGAAGACTCACTAAAAACGCAAGGGTGCCTTCTATATTTTTCATATACTGTAATCAAACAATCAGAGCAAATCTGGATATTGCTTGCTATCTAGCACAACAAAGCCGAGCGATGTCGGATCATGAATCTAAGAAAGTTGAAATCCGATAAAACCACACTCGCAATATGCTGCTGCTTGCAAAATCAATAGACATCACTCAGGAGTCAGGGTGTCGCACAGGTCACACAGAAGACGTCAGATTTCTTCAGATGTCTTCAGTCATTGAAATATGGCAATCATGTTTACCACAATCTTTTATTTTTCTCCCTACAGATAATACATTTACCTCTCTTTACACAATAAACACAGGACCGAACTTGGTCGATCTCACACACAATGCTACGATTTAATTCAATATAGAAAAAAATCCAAGACCGTAAACAGTATGATTTTCAAGCATGTCGCCCGTGCGCACAAATATGCAGGGCTCTTTGTTATGCAAATATTTTACCAAATCTCACCAAACAAAATTCAAGTTTTCACATATTTTTGCGGCACGAAAAGTCTATAAACACTATATTAGATTACTGTGCCGCACAACTGCTGGCAAGGGAAGAAAGTGGATGCGGTTGTAAGTTTTGAAAGGGAAGAGTCTCAATTTTCCTTATCTATACGGAAGAGGTGCACAGGAAGTGTTCCTTTCTGAATCTCAAGATAATTTTTCAACTGCGTGTTGGATTTGCTGGAAAATTTGGAAAACCTTTTAAACGGAAAAATGTTTGACTGAACAATTTGAACGTTTAAGGGCCCCAGTCCTAATTGCTCTGTGGGGGGCTGGGCCCCCATCATGGCTCCGCCCTTGACCACAAGGGTGGCCCCCCTAGACTGCCTGCTGGGCAGTGTTAATGTGCGGCCGTCAACATTTATTCTGTATCCGCCCCTGACATCACTTAAAGGCAATCGAAAGATGCTGAAGTAGTTAAAGCCATCTGTCAATCAATATTAGCCAATCAATAAGCAGGTGAATGGTATCATGCTCACTGATTGGCCAATTGTTGATTGACAGATGTCTGAAGCCTCTTTGGTATCTGTCAATTGCCTTCAACTAAGCGTTCTAGCTCTCACCATGACATCACAGTCCAGCGTTTGAGCTGGCCTTGATTTCATGACCAAGTTGATAATAAACAATTTTGACTTATTAACATCAATAATTTATATCATCATCACCAATGAATTGACTCAAGTGATTTAAAATGAAGCACCAAATTATTGCTGCGTCACGCAAAATAAAACTTTATTAAAAATCATGCTATAAACATGAAATAACATGGTTTTGAAGGCAGAAAAGCAATCACAAGTGCCAATCTCTCTTTCTTCTAAAAAACCTGCTTAAAACTGATTCTCAAATGAATGCGTCAATCTGAGAAATATTTGTTCATAATTAGTGTTGTTGTGTTCAATAATTCAACTGGGAAAGAAAATGGGATGTTTATGAAACACCAATATGCATAATGATTTCTTAAGAGAATGATCACTCACCTGAAACCTCTACTATGTCCCCGGGTACTAGATATTTAGCCTTAATTTTTTGAACAGAAGCTTTCCCCACTCTAAGAACCTTTGCTATTTCTGGTTCATATTCTTTTAGAGCCTCAATAGCACTTTCAGCATTACGCTCCTGAAAATAGGGTGACAAAGTTAAAAGACAAATTTATTTAAAGTATAGGTTGATAAAGTTATTTAAAGTCTAGTAGAATGCAGCCAATGTTTGTAATATTTTATATGGATATATAAAAAAACAAAGTTGAAAACTGCAAGTTGCAAGCAAAATGGTAAATTGATAAAACTACTAAAGTTTTAGGTTTACTGAAATGAATACCAAAATAGATGTGGTTATCATTGTCAGGGATATTTGCTGCAGTAAAATGATTGCATTGTTTCAACTTCCCTATTCCTGATGTTTCTCTAAACATTGTTGATATGGTATTTTGATGATGGATAAAACATATATAAAGTAAGCAGCAATTTACATTCAAGGATATTAAAAAAAGAATACTCTTATGATTAAACAAATAACCTAAAATCCAAACAGACATGTTAAAATCTTGCATCCCCACCCCCTGTTCAAACAATTCTGGCAGGCATGTGTATAGCTGTTAACCACAAGATCCATGGCAAAATTTGTAGGTCTTCCAATATTTTGTTGTTTCTATAGATACTACAAATATAGACTTTCAAAAAACATATTGAGCAAAAAAGAATTTGAGAGCAGTTCAGAATAGTTACCTGCCAAACCCCTATGACAGCGTTGAGAAACAGAATTAACAGAATGACAAATGGTTCTACAAATGCTGTTGTTCGGTCCTCTGCATCTTCGAAAAATGCAAGAACCTGTAAAATTGAAAATAACAACAATCAGGCTGAAATCAAACTTTGCAAAAGGTAAACTGAACAGACAAGAAAGCTTCTCTTTGTTAAGGTCATGATGACAAAAAGACAACGTTTATTAAATTTGACATCGTTAAAAATTCAAGGTTTATAAATTCGGGTGAATTAGCTTTACAGAGGATAGACAAAGTTTCATTTTTTTAATTATGCCAAGATCAATGCTTGCATATAAAATTGTAAATTTAGCTCAATTTGAATTATCATTGAGATGTTCTTAGGTAAGCTTGTTGCCTGTATTTTGGCTATGATGAAACTTAAAATTTTGAAGAAAATTAATTGTACTGAATACAGAACCAACTTTTACAGGCTTGGCCATTTGAGGAGAGCCATAGCTATTGCTCCCCTCTAGGCTTTCTTGAAATGCTTGAGGGGAACTACAGAATGCTCTTCTTGAAATAAATTTTCTTCTGTTTCTATTCTTATTTAGCTAGAAATAGCTCACCTAGAGATTACAAGGAGACCAGCTTACTGCCCCTTGCTAAAAGTCTTATGGCGAGGCCTGCTTTTAGGACATTATACCTACTGTATATTGACAAAATTGACATTAACATTGCAGACCATTGTTTCACTGCATAAAAGCATGGTTGAACCAAAGGTAATTAATTTTATCTATATTCTATAAGTAATCTAGCCATGCAAAGATTCATGAGATGATCTCTGGCTAGGGATTCTTTGTACTGAGCAACTGTTTTAGTAATATCATGCTGATAAATCATGTAAAAAATGTATTGATTCATTGGAAAGACTTACAAATGAAATAACAGCTGCTACAAGTAAAATTTTAACGAGTAAGTCATCAAATTGTTCTAAAACCAATTTCCACAGTGGTTTGCCTACAATGAAAAAATTGATTATTACCATCACAAAGAGCTTCACTTCTAAATACTTTAACAGTTCAAAGCACATCTACTTAATCATCTATTATTAGTTTATTTAATCTTTTGTTTGAAAATTCTCGAACTCATAAGCACTCAAAAGTTTGAGCCTGTAAAGCAGAACTTCAAAAATGGTAAGAAAACTCGAGCAACCAATCAAAATCCATCCTTTCACTCATCTTGTTAGTAATTATTTGATTTGGGGAGCAGATGCATTTTAAAGAGGAATCCCTGGCAAATATCTATATATTTAAATAACATTTGCTGAGATTAATTTAAGAGTTGGAGATAAACATTAAAAAAGCTTACCTTCCTCTGGTGGCAGTTCTAGAAAAAAAGAACAAAAACAATGTGATTTCTCATTGACAAGTTATTGAAGAGAAAACAGACTGGCGGATATTTTAAAAAACAAACATAACATTTAGATAGAGCAACTTAAAAAGCATAATCAGTAAACTGCAATATCAATGTGTGAAAACCTTTCTCTAAAAATAACTAGTAAAAAAATATTCGAAACTAGTATCAATTATGCATAATGGCTCTTTGCAGATAAGAGCTTTATCAAGGATGAATCTTGCAGCAACATCATCAATAATACATATGATGCTACAAAAAACCGGAAAACTGAGGAAAAATTATGATAAAAAACCTGCAAATCTGAGCATCAATGAGCTAGATGTTTATGGCAAAATAGAACAAACTGCCATCACTATAAAATATTATTTCAATATCTTATTCTATAATATTCCAAACACTTTTCAAAATCATTGTAACACTGGTTTGAAGCGCTTCTTTACTATGAACTGGACACTACGCAAACATCTCACCACAATTTACAAATGAAGACTATTACAATGCACTTATGAAAAGGAAAAACATGATACTTTCATTACCACACTGAAGCTGTACGGACAAACTAATTGCTTATTATTTAAATAAACACTGGTGTTTTCAAATAATATTTTTGTAACATTGCATTAATACTAATGCCTCAAAACAATCTATCTGAACAACTTTACATCTTACAATTACAACACTGCTGGTGTTTTATAGGGAAAAAGGAATTCTTGTAAACTGAGGCAGGACTTCATGTTTGCAGCTACTTTTAATTCAGGTTGCTGAAGGAGTCCAAAATTATAAGCAATTATTAGAAGGAAAACAAAATTACAGCTTCTCATTTGACACGAATATGTTCAATCGATCTAATCATTGATCAGTGGCATCTTCTAGCATGTTTTATCCATTAAACTTTTATTTCATTATTTCTTGCACTCTGAGCATTATACCGATACTCTGTCCTGCTCAGTATCGATGTAGATGTATAAAATATTCATCTTCACTAGATGACCCTTGATAAGGTGACAAAATAATAATAATTAACCTTTGAACAAACACCATTGGTGTGGGCAATATCTTCTGAGCACAAACATTTTATGTCTAAGCACATTTATTGTTACACAATCAGATCAGAAAATGAAACTGATTCAAAACAAAGTAATCTTCTATTTGATTTTCTAGAGTGAATTTATCAACAATCAAAACCAGTGTTACAATCAAAACCAGTGTTACAATGAATTCTCTAGTTGTCTTTTACTTAGATTGTAATGATGATTTTAAGAGAAAAAGATTATAAATCTTAGAGCTTAAGTAAACTTCTAAAAGATATTTTTACATTAAAGATAAATTAGATGATCACAAAATGAACCTTATACAAATTGTTATTTATAAATGTATATGTATGTCACGTTAAAGAAACAAAAAAAGGAATTTTGAGCCTATTAGCACTACTGAAACTGCAGGACTACGGGAGGTAAAAAGGAGAACAGTGTTATTTGATCCAAGCATACATTTTAAATCAAACACACACAGAGAGTAAGCAATTGCAGGCTTTGAGAAAATAAAACACAATAATCACTTCAAGACAAGTTACAACATGCAGGAATTTGCTGGAACCCTTTGCTATCCAAGCAGCTTGGCTTTACCTTGCTTACCACAAGTTGTTTGGCAAAATGTTTTGGTTAAGTATGTGCAGTTCCTAATTGTAGTGGGCAGTGGATCAAAATTCATAAAAATCATTGTGTGAGGACAGAATGCTCAAGAATGAATTAAGAAAAATGAATTTCAAGCTAAATCAGAAAATTTGCATTATATACATTATAAAAAATCTTTATCGTCGTTTACATGGAGGACCCAATGTACTCAACTGACCATGAGTTCATAAATTATGCTTTTGTTTGGTTTAACAGTTTCTAGCTGGCTTACACAGCTTGAAAACATTAACACTGCACTTTAAATTTTATTTTCAAATATAAAATATCATGATTAGCTTGACTAAAGTAAAGGGGTGAGCTACTAAAAATCGAGACGTATGGCATTGAATTTTTTCCAACAATGCGAGAATATTTTAAAAAACCAACCGGATTTCGTATCTTTTCGAGACTCTATCAAGGGTAATCCAGAACAGACTTTTAATTTCATGATAATAAACGCTTATTCGCATAAAACCTCTCGCATTAACTGTAACAAGGTTTGAAACTTCCATTGATATCCTATTTAATTTGTCGACTTTGCGAAGAAAGCACTTAACAGTAGCAATACATAGTTCAAAAGCTAACCTGTGAATAAAAAACTTCGTGAATTATTTCGATACTTGATAAATTACACTGAAAACGAATACATTACTTGAATCTCAGCTTTTACTAAACACGTTAGTTAAACAATCTTGGCAGCCGTGTACGTGACAAAGCTTTGTCTTACCGTTGAGACCGTATTTTTCCCTGAGTCTCTCTACTTGTTCAGAATTTAGTCCATCTTTAACCGATACATTGAGACGTTGAAGGATTTCTTCACAAGTGAAAGTATGTGCCGAATCCATTTTAATCTCAGAACTTAAGTACTTAGCGATCTGACTTTTGCTATAGATCCATTTGCTCTGTTCGTTTTACGGTAGGCCTGTTGTAGAGATGCAGCAGTTTTCCACTCTTCAGTAAGTCGCCGTATACAACGCATGCGTAGAAACATAATTCAGTTCAACTGGTTCAAGTAAAATAATTTTTAACCCATGTGGGTGTCGCGGAAATTTCTGATTCGCCGTAATCCCAATTTCGTCAGACCACGGCAAAATAATCCAATAGTCCAATGGCATTGGAATCTTATCATGCATTCTTGTTAAACTTGCCCGCAGCTCTTTCATACAGGTTTTCTCGATACCCAAAGCCAAAGCTACCAGGCAACTACCTAGCGCGTATAATTGACATATAAATGTGATTACATCCACGATGACTGATGGAAAAACACTAAAACTGTCTTAATTAATAATCTATCACACAGAAGACTTTGTTTGTTTTGTGGCTGGTCTTCAAAACAGTTCTACGCCCTTGTTTGTTTAACTTCTGGGCAAGTCTTACCTTTAAATCACGCATGCACAGTACAGAAAGAAAGAAATACTAGCCCATCTTTAAAGAATTCTTCCGCAAATTTACTTCAAAATGGATAAAAAATATCTCAAGCTGCTACTAATCGAAACCGTTTTGTATACGAGAAATGAAAAAATCGGAAAGAATTAGAAATTCGAATTTGAAATTATGAATGTTATCGTAAGATATCTTTCATCCATGCAAACCAGAGGGAAAATGCAGAAATCTACACGAAATATAGTGAGGTCCTCGTGAAACTTTCAAATATGCAATTTGCCTGGCTAACATGTTATTTATATTTATTAGAATAGATTTATAAAATACTGGTCTAATGGAACAAATTCCAAAATTTGCAATTTTAATGAATTCTAGTTCTAGACCTAAAATTCGCTTGAAACTAAAAATCAAAGCGTGATATCGTATTGCTAGTAGCAAAATATCCAGTTAAGAAGGGGGTTCTTAGTATAAACTTAATTTTTGAAGCCAGCATTTGATTCCCAATAATTATTCATTGGTGTAAAGCACCAGGGAATATTCTTAAAAATTGATGAATTTAATGGCTAACCTGCCATAAGGCCTGATTTAGTATAATATTTACTGTGTCTGCAATCGAGATATTCAAATACAAAGCAAACAGTTAGAAGCTGTTTCAATATGCGCAATTCAAAATAAAAATTATTTGCCAAGTCACAATAAGTCATTTAAAATAGATATACACATGATATAACGATCAAGAGCACCACTCGACGAATCAAGGACTTGATATGGGAAACCAGTTCCAGTTGTCTAGAAGGAGGGGGGGGGGTATAAAATGATAAACTAAAAATTATATGTTGTATATATACTTCTTATAATCCCCAGATTATAGTCTCTGCGGTATTTTGGGCATACAGTAGTCAAGAAAACCCAATCATTTAAGCAGAAAGAATATAAAGTAGCTTTAGTATATAGGGCGCAAACACGGAACTCACTATCCGAAACCATTTTTCAAAAAGTGAAACAGGGAAGACAGTTTTCCCGTTTCGATTCTGATATTTCAGTTTCAAAAACTTGAAATAATAGCATATGAATGTAGATGACTGACAAAATTCCTTCCGTGAACAATTTTATTTACAGGACAATGAAACTTTGTTATTTATGTTTGGTAATGTCTATTTATATAACCAAATTGTCAAGGCACACTCAACCTGACCTTAACCTGGTTTTCAGGGTGATCCATAGGAGGTGCGGAGGAGAAGCGTGAAGAGATGCGGGGGAGAAGAATAACGATTGAAAGATGGTAAAACAAATAATGGTTATATTTTCATTTTATTGCTGCTGTCAACTCGGACCCGAAAGCAAATTGCGGATCGGGGGAGGGCGGCTACAACTATTGCAAATGTTTAGTGGACAGAGAAGTAAAAATAACTCATTTGGAGATTATTCCTATTCTTTGAATATAGTGATCATTGTGGTATTATTGATGAACTGTCTGACCGCACGAACAGCTACCCCACTCCTCCGCAACTTACACCGTCCCACCCTGTCCTCCTTTAAATGGAGTGCTGGTACTGTTTCTACATCAGCAACTGAAGCCCCAAATATCTCTCTTATAAAACCACTGTCAGAAAATCTATCCGTATTAGATAAAAAAGCTAAAGTAGCTCAATAGAACAAATTCAGTTACCCCGTAATGAAAAATTTTGTAGCAAATTATCCTAGTCAAGCATTTGGTAGCTAACCCACCCCTTTCCTCTAATTCAAAGCTAGATTGTTATTGAACACTTAGAGCTGAAGTTTCTTTAGCAATAAACACGCTGTTCTCTGCATCATCAAATCGTGATCTGCAATGTCCAAGGCCTTCAAAAAGGCTAGTAAGGCATTTGTTTCGTTCCCAAGGTGCTCTTGTCTTTTTGCCTCTTTCACGTGATTCATGTATTCAACACGTTCTTGTGAACTGAGAACACAGAAACATCGTCGAATTTTCACGTCACTTGGCACATGTCTGCGACAGGGGCAAGGTTCAGTTGATTCTGAAAGACAAACAATTATGGTAATGCCACGTTGGGAAAAATTAAAGTGTTTGAACATTGTTCAAGAGCCATTTACAAACACTCTCAGTGAATGGCGTTTCGAAAGGCCATTTTAAAACAAACAGCGAAAAGCAATCTATTCTAAAAAGCTGATCCTGTTGCTGGCTTTGCCTTCTGTTATAGCCAGGTACAGAAAAAACCAAACCTTAATGATCGAAGTGTTGTTTATAATCTGATAAAACGTTGCATCGGTGATGCCTGCTGCTAGATGCCTTTTAAAGCCTTTAAACTTAATGCGCTCTACATTCATAAAATTCTCTTTGTCAAATTCAAAATAATCATTTTATGCATAATCCCCTTAGATGATAAAAAAGATCCTTGAAGGGTAACTAAAACATCCTTGTGAGGGTTAGAGCTTGTCGATTCACCGTATGTTCTTTCGATCACAAGTAAGTCAGTAGAAGGAATACAGAGACAGTAATATTCTGTTAACTTATAAACTCCAGAAAACTGAAAAATCACATTTATTGATATGAAAAAGGTGCTAAAATACCTCTTATGCTCAAGCAAAACGATCTCTTGAACTACTATTAATTTTTAGCGTTAATTCTCCAAAAATAGACACACTTCATACCTTGAGCGCTGACTTCGTCTGTTATGGACTGCCGCGAGACTTCCAGCACATTTCCAGCCGACTGAGAACCTTCACCTTCATCTAAGAGGCAATTCTTTGATGTATTACCAGGACATCTCCGGTAGAATGGTTTGTCCCAGACGTACAATGGAGGGGTGGCCGCGTCCTGATTGCAAGGCTGGGTTGCTACCTCTTGCTCAGATAGGTAGCTGCCTTGACTTTGGTCCGCCTGAACGGGTTCTTCGTTGATGCTGGCCCTTTCCTCTGACTGTGAGTCAATTGATCCATCTGAGTGGTGCAATATTGGGCTTTCTTTCACTGCCATTGGAGAATGGTCACTAGCAATCAGTGACGTACCTTTGCCCAAAATGCTCTTTCTCAGACTGCGTCTTGAGTGCAACAAAACCTCGTCGTCAGAATCACTAGAATCGCTTTCTGAATCAAAATCATCTGGATATTCATGGTCGCTGATTGCTTGTTCGCGATTGATTGATCGATTGCCTGATAAAAGGCTAATCATCTGCAACTCATTTGAAGAAACTGAGTCATCATCATTACAATCATCATAATCGCCAGTCTCCTCATTGCTGGACAAATCATCACCGTTCGTTTGATTTGCAAGACTTGTCGAGGTCTCACCCTTAACCGTGAATTCACAACTTTCATTACTTTCATCATTGTGTCGATATGAGCCATTCAAAGACTTGGCATCTTTACCACTGTGCGAGCTACCGTTTGGGAAATTACCAGTTCTAATGGTGTTCCTGTCACTTGTATATTCTCCCATACTTAAATCCGGCATACTATTATCATTGTCTCTTGGGGTGATCAATATCGTTTCAGCTTCTTGAATGTCGTCATCATATGGATTTTCTGGCAAGTCTGCCATTTCACCCTGCATTGATTTTGATCTGCGCTGAGAATTCTGCGCAGATTTGTCTTTTGATCCATCAGCGGTCAGTTCGGAAAACAGTGATTGTGACGTAGCATATTGAGATGAAGTGCACATCCCAGTTGCCGAATTCCCCAAATCAGTCGATGCCGGTTGGGATTGGTTCTCTAGCTTGTTAGCAGAATTCGAAAACATTGACTCGGACTCTGCATCGTTTGAGAAGCCATCTGACTCTAATGACTTCTCTGTGATCTGCAAGTTGGCCATTGCACTCCAGTTAAAGGTCCGTCGCCTATCCACGTTTACATCTATCGGAGGTACAGGCTTTTCCTGGTGCGGTGTCGAACACTGCTGGGCGTTGATATCATAATGCCTGACTACTTCGTGGAGACCAAAGCTCACTCTCTGGTCATTCCCATAGGCAGATGAATTTGCAGATAATGTTTGCAGGTTCACACTTGAACCATTAGCGGGCTCCTTGAGAAAATTATTTTCATTTTCCTCGACACGCAATGGACTACAAGCCATGTCTACAACTTCTACAGAGACCTCAGTTGGAGAATTCGCAGTGTTGTCGTAGGTTTTGGTGAGACCGTAAATAAGTGCTGCAGCCGACCGTCGAAGATCTTTACGCGGAGAATCCTTAACGGCAGAAAAGGAGTCTCTTGCTATGGCCGATTTTGGGGTAGAGGCCACAGTACTTGAGGCTGCGACTGCATTAGTGATTGGCATTACAGAATCCGGAGTGAAAACCGACTTATCAACAGCAGCGTTCAGCGATGTGCTGATTGGTTCTTGATGTAAAGAAACATTGCTGATTGGACTACACATGTCATCAACCATATCAACATAAGATGCGCTGCTGGCGTCAACGTTTACGGAATTCTTGGAACAGAGACTTTCCTTTTCGTCGTGCGATAGAGAATCTTCTCCTGTGCTAGCTTGCAAGTCCCCATTAGGCAAATATTCGTTGGTAGAAATTGACCTCATTTGACTCACTGCAGGGCATGTTTTATCATCAAACGAATCTTGCACTGAGTAATTCGCAGATGAACAGCAATTCGAGTCGGTACCGCGTTCTGGAGAATGCTGTTTGGAGACAAGAACATTTGCAGGCCTTTCTTCGTCAGAATCTTCAATGAAAATTTCTTTTTTAACTGGTGATATCCCAATATGGTCATGGCTACTGCCATTCAAAGGCAACAATTCTACAGGGCTAATGACACCAGTCTTCTCGTCCTCGCCAGACCCTTCTGATGTTCCAGTTGGAGAATCTTCGACCAGATGGTCGCTACTGTTATTGTCGGATTTTTGAGGGCTTTCCGATCCTTCTGTGAAGGAATCTTCAATTTCGATAACATTTCCAACATGATTTCTTGGCTGTTCTCCATCGGGTGAACCAAAGTTGTGTGATGCAGTTGGTGAATCGGGTACTACCACGCTAAAATGGAAAATCAGGAAGGCCTGTTGAAACCGGTTGATGAGACATATAGGTTCACGTGCAAAGCTTTCTTGATAGGAGAAAGAACTTCTTACTGAAGTGACATAAAACTATTGGTGCCAGGTAATTAATAACAAGTACATAAATATTGGTATTAGCATTGAAACTTTTCGCTTCCCTTTCAATTTTACTTTGCATTCACACAAATAAATATTTCCAATTGTGAATATGTCTAACATGGAACATGCCTAATATGGAAGATGATTGATATGAAATATGTATGCCTAATATGGAATATGCCTTATATGGAATATGCCTTATATGGAATATGCCTTATATGGAATATGCCTTATATGGAATATGCCTTATATGGAATATGCCTTATATGGAATATGCCTTATATGGAATAAGACTCATAATAATGAAACTGAATAGAGAAAATATCAACGAAAAATACCTCACTACTTCTGTTCCGGAGCTTCGCTTTCTTTGCTTCTTCTTTTCATCCTAAATTGAAAGTCAAGACCAATGATTGGCTGGATAGTGGTTATAACGTATCTTATTGATAATACTCTATATAGCAACTAAAGGAGGCAAATTTGAAAAAAACTTCAAATGGGCATTACATGGACATAAACAGGATATGAATAACAGCAATTCGACAATTGAAGTTCATTCTGAAGCGAGTGTGAGAAAATGATTGACTATATTTAGTGGTGTTGGACTTAAAAATAAAAGAGTTGTTATTTTTAAAAACTGAAAAATCACAAGATAAGTAAAAATCGCACGTGTCAAATAAATATTGATTATCCGTTACACGAGGAATGTTGCATCGGGTTCAAGGAGGTTCTTCTAGATGAAGAAGAGGAATTTTACTTGACAAGGAAGGTAAGGAAGCCGCTCTGTTTTTAGACCTAGCGGCAAGCTTTTAAAAAGCAAGAAAGCCATTATCAATCGTAGACATGAAGCTATACAGCAGCTTTGAATTATATCATATATTATGTCTAGGGTAGCTTTAAAAAGTTAAAACTAATACTGGTATTATGCCTCAAATACAAAAAAACAACATACTTTTGATAAAGTTGGCAGGTATCTTCTAATATCAGTTGGCTTGAATGATTCGTTGATTGAAAGATGAGATATTCTATCGCATAGATTCACTTCAGACATGACTAGGTCTTGGGCTCTTTTTGCCTGTTATATCAGTAACAGAATAATGTAAAGTGTTAACTGATAGGACAAATAGGACTGCATTGCTAATTTGGAAAATACTTGTGGGGAATTCGTTTGAGTGAGAAACATTCAGGTAAATGTTAAGAATATAGCATAAAAAGTGAAACTGAGAACATTGAATGCAAAGTTTCAAGTTCATTGTCTGCTCGCAACAGTCAGTGCAAGATCTAAAAGAGTTTATGAAGAGCAAGGGGTATATTCCTATATAAGAGGAAAGAGGAGGGTATCTAAAACCTACTTCAATGTTCAAAAATGAGGAAAACACTAAATAACTTAAAGCTTGTCAATTAATAGTAGCAACAGCACTCGTGCAGTACACTTAAGAGGAATCAAGACTCAAGGTGCCTCATCGATTAAGACATTCATAGACTAGAGCTACATTAAAAAAGTCTTTTAATGTCATCGGTTTATGATAGAAGCAACGAAAAGTGGAATGAATAGTTTAAAATTAGGTACGAATGAGTTTTAATCAATTCTACAAGAAATATAGCATCTAAGGTCAGGTGCATAGATGTAAAAGCTATTATTTGGCCATCTTTGAAAAATTATATATTTTTATAAGATTTTCATTTATTAGCAAACTAGCTTATAGAAATAAATTGAATTGGAAGGGGGACGCTACTGTCACTGTTGGCAGGGCTTATACGTAAAAGGTTTAAACTTCAAGATCGATAAAAAAACATACAAAATAAACAAACATACCCTTTCTACCACCTGCATATCGAATTCCATCCCCCTTACATTTACTTCTTCCTCTACATTCCTTTCCTCCTTTGCGTAAACCGAACTGTGGTTGCTCACACCAAAGATATCTTCAAGGAACAGAAAATATATCCCAATGTATATTTGATCAATGCAGGAACGACTAATATTTTCAGTTAATCGATAAACACTTACTCAATGGGCAATGGCCAAACACCAAACAACCTAGAGATATTTTACCAGAGCTTACAAAGTTCAGATCAATACATCTGCAAGCTTATAACTATGAAAATAACAATTTATACCCTGAGGTTGGTACTGATTGATTGCTCTACCATGATAAATATTAAATACTACAACATATAATAGAAACGAAATATTAGCATCTAACACCAATTTGATCCATTAAATAAGCATCAAATAAATTCATTCCACATGTTTTCAGAAATTCACTATTTTGGTGCTTGAACAAGCACCATCAAACTGCGTTACTACTCCAAAAGCTTGCCCAATCGAGTTGAGATATAACTCTTTATTGCTTTCTAGGGTGTTATGCCGTGGCTTGATTCTCGAAAGATTCGTAAACATAAGTGTCATTTGCTGGATGAAAAAATGCGAAACGAAACTTGACAAATCCTTCTAAAGAAACACTGTGCTTAGGGAAAATTTTCTTTGCCTCTGCTGGTTTCTGCTGAGAACCTCCAAATTCCAAATTCATATTCTCAGCACCAATATTTTCAACTAACGTGTTTACAGCACGCATGTTTAAAAACGCATATTTTAAACACTTTCAGAAAATGTGGAAACATTCCTCATCGTATTCCTTAGTCTATAAAACATCAGATAAAGACCAAACGATTAAAAGATAAGTTATACCCATGTACAAATTTCGACTTAACTTTCTAAGCTTTAAATATAATTCCCTGCAGACTCATCAAAAGTTAAGCGTTCCTTGTTAAATAAACTAACTTCTTCAGTTCAGGACAAAGCATACACCCTATCAGCACAAAAATTAATATTCGCAAAAACTATTCTGCATTTCTTACTTAGTGATTTCAAAAAGCCCAAATGACTTTCCACCGATGGATCCCATTTCATTTCACCACTCAGTTCTCTCAAAATACCGTGCGTCTCAGAAAACGTCGTATCCCCTAGAATAAATAGCTCACGAAGTTGGTGTCTTGCGAAGTACCTGCAAAAAAGCAATGCAAATACATACCTAAATTGAAAAAATGATTTAATGTAAAGGCATTAACGAAATTTTTAACTATAATCATTAAGATAAAAATGAACAATAATGAAATTTTCAAACAGTTATTGAAAACCAAGAATCATATAACAACGTAATATTTTCTTAAGGCTAATAGATCTTTGATGGAGGATGGAGAGGTTGGCTAGTATGAAGACGCGGAATGCTTCTCCCTCAAGCATAAGTTTTTTGGTATCCGATGCATGCTTAAAATCAAGGAGCCGCAGAATTGGACAAACGTCGGCTGGAGTCGCAAATCATTTTGCAAAAAAAACTGTTTGCTATAACTATATAACTGTGATTATTGAGACAAACTATTAATTCAATACGTTCATTAATGTGATTGGCTTATCCATTAATTCAATGATAGAAAGCATGGATAAACCAATCGTGATTATTGGTCAGGTAGCATGTAGCTGGATAAGTCAATCACGTTAAAGCGGATAGAAATGTGATAAAAAAATTATCACGAATAGAAAAGTGGTTTATGTTGGACAGGTAACATGTAGCTGGATTATCCAGAGCAGGTAGAAATGTGGTAGGAAGGCTTCTTTGAAAAAGCCCATCGTGTCTATTGGACAGGTAGCATATAGCTAAATCAGCCAATGGCACTGGAGCAGGTAGAAATGTGATAGCGAAGTAGGATTTAGTTTTATCCTATAAACACAAGTCAATCATGCCATCTTTGCCCACTACATGTTAGTTTACCAATAATATCTGCGAAAAAATATCAAGTACCTAGTATTTAGCTAATAAACAACCGAAATTTCAAATATTCACGACAGTTATATCTCTTTTCGTGTTTTGACACACACCAAAGTTGAGAATCTCTTATTTGACAATGCTGATCTTTATGTCAGCGGTAAATTACTGAATATATGCGCTGCGAGTGGGTCAAGATTCCGGGATTCGGAAAATGTATGCTTTGCTCCTTCGTTTCGTCACTTTGCAATAAAAAGCTACACGTAAAAAGACCGACGCAAAACTCGCTCTCTCAAAACGATTTTGGTTGTATAGATAATTACCGGGTATGGTAGATTCCAAAGGCACTGAAAAGGGTACATAAAAACACTGTTTTGCGAAAGAGAGACAAATTTAGCTGGTATGACTACCATAGTCCGAAGAAGAAGAAAGACAAAATGTTCTCATTAAGAAAATGGCCTGTGATGCAAGATAAGGGAGACGCTTTTGCAAACCTCTAGTTTAGTGCAACAAAATATTACGCAGGTAACAAATTTTTCACCAGAGCCTTGGAAACATAACGGTCAAGCGGTCAATGACTGTGAAGAGGGCCGATGAAAACAAAAGATATAACACTGCCACGCCCAAACCCCGCCTTGTTTTATTTGCCTTAGGAGGCGTTTTAGAGCTTTCGCATTTTCTGACTTATAAGTTTTGCCACCTCGGCCATATTTCATTCTTTATGTTCAAATTACCTCAGTGGGTTCTTGCATGTTCCTGTCGTCTGCTTTGACAAGGCATCCTTGAAGATCTGTTTTCTATAGATTTTCTCCTCAATTGTCCCGCACGTTATTAACCGGTAAATGATCACATCCTTGTTCTGCCCAATTCGATAAGCTCTATAACAAAGAACTTCTGTAAGAAATTCATTGGAAACTAAAAAAAGGTAGACCCTTTTTTGTAAAGATAGATATGTCTTGAAAACACCTCTGGGCAATAAAAAACGCTTATTCTGATCAAATCAAGAATCCAAAGAGTGAGATGATTTAGAAATTCTCTCTTTTTTTTCGCTTTTTTGGCCGCTACTTTAAAGGGCTTATAGACTGGTGGTAAACATGTAGATTTTCAGCTTTAATTACCTTAGGAAATTGACTGTATCAGATTGAAATAAATATGATTATCACAGAATCCAAAGGAGAGTTTCTATACGAGCTGTACATTATCGATGGTCAATGCTAAACTACTGTAATAATTCTATTAACCTGCCTTTCTATTAACTTGCTTTTCTATTCAGAATCGAGTTTTGGAAAAGCCTTTGACCCAATTAGATTTTGAAAAATCAGCCAATCAATTATAACTAGAGTTATACTCACTTTTCATTGACTTTTGCATTAGAGAACCTTTAAATTTTTCGGTCACAAATTTTGTTCTTTTTAATAATGCTGCGTGTCACCAACAATCTTTTGCATCGATTGGGTTTTCAGAGGGGCTTATACATATTATTGCTATACTTGGTTGCTTTTTGACAAAAACATTTAAGTGTAATAAGAACATCAAAAAAAAATTAGTAGGATAACGAAAAGCATTGAAGTCTCTAGCTCTAGGCTGAACACGGGTCCCTTATGGTGAAACAATCAATTTTGTTGTCATTCATTAAATGCATCGTGAGTCGATTATATGGTAGATTTTCCCAAAGTCTATTTTATGTTAAATCCGTAAGGCATTCGTACTACTGCGAGGGCATATCCAAACTGCGGAGGAGACGATAGAAGGCGAAGGAAGATATGCCCTCGCAGTAGTACGAATGCCTTACGGATTTAACATAAAATAGACCTTGGGAAAGTCTAATTATAAAGTGACTCGTATATAAAACAGATAAAGCTGCAGTTAAAGTGATGAAGGAAATTTAAAAAGCATCCACTTTATCACAATGTAGCAAGATCCATGCGAGGCACGAAATGCGACCCTGCCACGAAACTCTTAAATACCACCTTAATAATAATGCTAAAACTGCTAAAGTACTTACCTTTCTGTTTTCTGTTGATATTCTGTTGACATGGGATTTTTTCTTCAAGGATACAATGGAATAACTATGAATGTACACAACAACCAATGCAAATTACCTGTCAACTGCCTGGGCATCATTCCCTGGGTTCCAACTTGGATCAACTGAAAAAAGAATTAAAAAGTTATTTGAAACTTAGTCCCCTATTTATGTTTGATTTTTATAGTTTGTTTTAAATAAAAAATTATTAAAGAACCAATATAGTACTGGCTTTCACTAGAGTTATAAAGTAATTGTACTAAAACTACCTGAACGCCAAAACAAAGTTCCATTTGGTCATACTGTTACTCTGAAATTAAATCGTCTACCGTATAAAACAATACGTTAAATTTATATACATAAAGGCATATATAAACATAAAGAATAAAGGCATGTATAGAATTATCAACAACACGCTGACGTGTTTGTTCCGCCAACAGCTTTAGAGAAAAATGACCATTACAACATTAAGCTTTGAGCAAAAAAGGAAGCCATCAGAAACAAGCTGACTGAAAAATATTCTATTAAAATATTTTCGTTGCCAGATCTGCTAAGAAATCAATGGTATAATAAACTCACAGATTATCACTCTGTCCGCCGCTGTAAGGTTCAGCCCTACTGCACCAACCTAAATTTAACAAAGTCGAGTGAAATGGTTAATAATGATTGTAATTGATGATGGTAGTTGATAATGATTGGTGATTGATAATGATTGATTATGATTTGTAATTATTATTGATGGTATTTATGGTGATTAAGGATTGGTGGTTGATAATAATTGATTATGATTGACGGATGATTAAATTTGATTATAGTTTTTGATGATGGTGGCTTATGATGTTTGATGCCTATGATGAAAGTGATCGAAAACGATGATCATTGATTATGATAGTGATTATAGTGATGATAATGATAGTTTTGTAAGCATGTTTATTATGATGATGTTGCATAACCGAAATCAGATATCAAATTATAGCAATATATTAGAAACTCCAAATGCATTTTCTAAGCAATAGTAAGGGTGCCTAATCGAATACCTGAGTCGTGAGCAGGAAGCAAGTGTAGCTGGTATCGTTTTGGTACTTTTCAATCAATGATTGCCGTTCAGCTGGGTCCAGTATCCTACCGTCGAATCTGAGCAATTTGACACCCTTTGAAGGTAACAGCACTTCAAATCAAAACACTGTACAGATCTTGAAATCATGAGACATAACTATATAATGATCCAAAGATTGTTTTCTTTGACACAGCAGTACTTACTACTGATGAATTACAATGAAATTCTTTGTTTACATATTTTAATGAAATCTTAGTCTAAAAATGTCAATCTTGAAGTTAACAAAAAGAATTGTTTGGACCGTTCAATACCATTTTCGGACCGTTACCGTTTTTGAGACCCTTTTTCAAGATCATTTTTCGGAACAGTTTTTGGAAATCGTTTTTGAGACTGTTTATCGATCATTACTCGAGACCAAAAGTCACATTGAAGATAACCCGTCTCTTGCAGAATACTTAAGGAAGTTAACAAGCTATATATGTAACAATGATCTGATGATGCTGTCAAGCACCACAGCAAAGCCAGTCGAAAACTCTCCAGAATTAAAGAAAACAAAAAAATTCAAAAACAACACGAAAGGTAGACAAATGAAGATAAGAGACCCACCTGTTTCGAGAGAACCTTGTCCACAATATCCAACATCTTACGAGATTGACTGAATATCAGAGCACGATGACCTTCTTTGACAAAGCTGTTCACAAGCTCTAACACGAACTGAAGTTTTGAAGATTCTTCGACAAGAATGTCTTCACACTCACCTCTGTTTGGTTAGAATATAGTAATTATTCATAGCAGGACTTCATACATAAAATCAGTATCTAGCAAAATAGGGTATTTAATCCATACAGAGTTTTTCTTAAAGCTTTGGACAGAGGTGTCATGCAGGGGCAGGAAACATAAAATCGGTATATACCAAAATAGGGTATTTTAATCCATACAGAGCTCTACTAAGTGAAAGTTTTTAACAGAGGTACCGTGCAAGGAGAACTTGGGGGAACTCACAGGAAAGCTTCTAAGATTTTTACATTAAAATCATAGCAAAGACAGTAGATCTAAGGGAGAGGGCGTTGACTTGGGAATAGAAGAACTTGATAATTTCTAAAAGGGAGATACGATTAATAGCGCCTGTGTGATAACCTAATGCCTTATTCAATGCTCAATCTCTCAGAACAATAATATCGTTTGACACAAGCCACTGCTATTTCGTTCTTATAAATTTTAATATCCACACAGCGAAATTCGTACAACAAACAAACTGTTGGATAGCTTACAATACATTATAGTTGCATATCCGTAAATATGCATGTCGTTTTTTCTACCTTCGATAATTCACTAGCAGAGGAACTGCAAAATTTTTATAAAGAATTTGTTCGGTAAATGAATGATAAAAAGCTTTTTGATAAGAGGGGCAGCTCCCCTCCTGGAGTCAAAGAGCTGCCTCACTCATTAAAAACCCTCGCTCTTGTTCGTCTCCCCGACAGAAAAGGCATTTATATCCAAGAGCTTACGTGTCTTCACTGAAACCAAGAGCCTCGCAAACAGCATTTGAGAGCAATCTTGGGTGGTCTGATATCTTCTTCAACATCGTTAGCTGTGCCAGTGGAGATCTCGTGCTGTGCATCGCCTAGAAGAAAATCATAAAAATATTTTTATATATAGTGATTGTTATTAGTAATAAAATAATACTGAGTTTACCGCTGGTTTTTATAGAGAGCTAAGATACAGTATATTCAGTTCGACCAATTTCATGGTGAAAAAACTATAAAGCCAGAAATCGCACATTTATCTATTCCGTGATTTTATAGAGACAATTTTAAAAACAATTTCCAAATCATTGCCAGTTAGAAGTTAAATGCCATTCTTTATTTGTGGAATAAGAGGGGAAATCTTACTGAAGGGAGGCTAAACCCAATCAAAGCACAAAGAGAATAATAATCAAAACACTTTGGTAATCTAAAAATTGTATGACGTAACGATACCTCGACAATATAGTCCAGCTGCAAGAACTGCTTGTAAATTTTCAGCTGAATATCAGAGAGATATAACCATACAATTAAGTCGTTTTTCTTCGAAAGCTTGACATCCATTTTGCTAACTGACCTGCAATTGAATTTGATTCAGGACAAAAACGACTTTTTGGATCTCCTAAGACAATTGTATTTAACATAGACGTAAAAAACAGAATCGAATTCAGCATTGAAGCAAAAGGAAGTGAGAGCTGGGGCAGGTTTAAAAATCCAACGCTATAAATATTACCAACTAAAAATGGCTCTTAGTATTGCGAATAGGATCCGTATGGTAATTAAGCCAAAAATTCTTTTTAGAGCATCAAAAATAATATTTGAAATCATAATAAATGATTCTAAACACTTCAGCAACAGGAACGGAAACAAAAAATTCTTTGTTATCCGTAGTAGAGTGGCCAATACCTGCCAGTGAGTGATGTCCCTTCAAAACATGATTATAACTTTAAAAGATTGAATCACCATAATAAGAGAGAGATAACATGATAACATACTCCTTGGATGAATCATTCGAGGTGGAATCTTCAACCCCATCGACCTCAGTGCTTTCATCCTGAGCTTTGAATACATCAGCTTTTCGTCTTCTCAATATATGCTTTGCAATCATTTGTCGCAACGTTTCTGAGATTTCGTCGCCAACTCGCTTTTCGTAGGTAGATGCATCACGCTCCCTAGCCTTAGAAAAAGCGTCCATTTACTCCTCAACCAAGAGTTTGAAATTATAAATAAATAAAATCATTTCTGAGAAAAATGCTTCTACATCAAGAATTTTCTATCAATTGATCATTTCTTCCCTGCAGTTATATTTAACACCTTGCAATAGGCCAAACGTTCCAAACACCGGATAAAAACGGCATAACTATTCGTCAACAAGCATTGATGCTCCCTAATACAGAGCATTATCTATGCTTCCGCACAATAAAAATTACCGTCTACTGATTTGCCTTACGGTGAACGATGTCATATAAACAAAGCTGTACACGCTTTGATGCAAAGAACAGGAACGTTCTACGTGAAACCTCAGAGTTTCATGAACATCAAAAGGCAGCTGTGCCACAAAAAGCTTCCACATAAATGATACGACTGGTTCAAAGACACGAAAAGCTTAAGAGTTACCCTGACAATGGGATTTTCAAATTCTGTCTTGAATGTCTTGAGTGTCCCAAGCAACCTTCCATCTGTTACAAAGTCCATTAGCGACCAGAGTTCCTGTAAAAAGAGAATCTTCCCTTAATATGATATTGCAAAATTAGTATTCTTAACTTGCCTTATCGTATAGTTTATCACAAAATACCAAAATTCGTTATTGAGAATTTCTAAAATTCGATCCTAGTAGCTAATTCAAACTTTGCATCTAATTTTTGTTTTGATAGCAATTGTTTCTACCACACATGTATTTGTTTCTTCCCTTTTAGGCCAATAAGTAGCTACGCTTATCGAGCTGTGTCCTGGTCCTTCTTCTCGATGTGACCACACCTTGCAATTCCTACGCCTGGAATTGCAGAGAGCTGTCGACTACCTTTACTTTGGCTAAAAGTTTGGTCACGTCAGTGACTGGAACCCCAAACCCTTGGACCTGTGGCCCGCGAACCTAGACACTGAGCCATCCTTGCACCAAAGCAAATATTGGATGTTTGTTAAAATAATGGAAGTAAATTAAGCAAAGAGCTAGCTGGATCAAGAAAATATTACGAAAGAAATAAAGTTACCGATAAATTATTCTGGATTGGTGTTCCTGTCAAAATAATACGATTCTTTACTGGAATAGAACGAACACATTTTGATGTCTTGTTGGGGTTCTTGATTTTGTGGCCTTCGTCAAGAATTATATAATCCTAAAAGAAATACGGTTCAATTAGGATGGGGTAATAGATGTGAAAAGTCATGCAAAATTTACTAAATTTAAACGAAAAACTTGGGATTGCATTGGGTATCATTTGACATATATGTTGTGTTTTTAATTATCACATATCTTGTTAGTACTATTAAGGTTAATTAACTATTTTAGATTGATATAAAATATGACATATTTAAAAAGGCTTCTGTACAATTTCTCTTATAATTTCATAAAAAATATTTCATTGTTCTATCAATTAGAAAATTCTTTTTAGTAAATAATGAAAAATTATTTTCGATTTACATGATTTGCAAATGAGTAATGAAAGTTTGTTACTTAATGAACTTATCTGCTTCTTGGATAATTGTATATGACTGAAAGAGCTCTTGAAAGCTGCTAAAGAATTTTGGCATTGGACTTGGATATAAAATTAGTTCATTTGATCCAAGATATTTGCTGGTAAAACATTGCATAGTTCTCCCTGTTCACTATAATAAGAAAACAATTTTTTGGTGGTACAGACTATGTTCTGACGTTTTATGAACTAAAGAGTTAGTATGTATCAAAATGCTAGCTTTTTTCAAAGCCATTTTATCTTTAATTTAAGTCTCACCCAAATAAACCTTTGGTTATGGAACTCTGCAAGCTGCTCATGACTTGTGCTCAGGGTCCCTTGAAATAAAATCGAAGATAATTATTTCCATGGAGAATAATCTTTGTTGAACTCACAGCTGACATCCCAGCACTTCCTAGTTTGAAACCTTGAGCTGTTCACCACTTGTTTAGAGTTGCATATATGTGTTGGAGTTTTCTACTGTAAGCTAAATGGCAAAACTTGCTTTGATAGCAATTTCACTAGAAAAATGCAAGGATAGAGGGCTTCCAAGAGACCCAAGAAATTAAAAGAGGTTGTTTGGCTTCATGTCTAACAAGCAGGCAATGAAAGCCACTGGCCTCTATTTTCTAAGACTCAAAATATATGGTTTTAGGGTGACATTTTATACATTAGCCCAAGGAGATCAATGGTCGGTGGGCAAGCAGTAGCATTTGAAACAAGAGTCATTTATGATAAAGAAGTGAACTGCAAGATGTAAATGAGGGTTTTCTAAATAATTTAGTCTCAAACAAGGACCCATTTACATTTTGATAAAAAATTTCGGATAGGTTTTGGATAAAAATGCAAAGGGATAAGTTTTGTTTTCAGATATCACTTCAAAGGTTACATAGAAAATGTAACCAAACTAATATATATCAACTTGCCGGAGACAACTGTACATTATTAAGAAAAGACTGCCAATATATGTATTTTATTACCAGCATTTAGAACTTTAAATACTTAAAAGTGGATGCTATCACAGGCATCTTTGGGGAGGCCTCAAAATTTCTGAAAGTGAAAGCCCTGCTAGACACCTCAAAGGCCAGGCTTACATTATCAAATTTCTGTATCTTTGAAAACTTCAATCCTTTAATATTTCTTTTTCATTTCACCAAAAATATCTATTTAGCAATTCATATGAAAAATAAAACAGTATATGTTTGATTAAATCTATGCTTCTATCATTTCATGAGTTAAATTTCAGTACAGAATTAAACAAATCAATACCATATGTAGTCAAAATGACACCACTTTTCCTTTGTATTTTGTCTAGTTCTTTTTCACGCTTTGCCTTTGTTCCATGAAATTCTGCTAGCCGAATGCCTGGTGACCTGAAATAAGGGACAAGATTTAGATCAGTCCAGGTTAAATTCCACATTTAATCTTTCTTTAAGTTGAAATATTAACACAAACTTATCATTTAAAATGTAAGCCATGCACTAGGTTATATCAAGAAGTCAAAAGAAAAATTTTCAAGCATTATACACACCATTTTCCAAACTCATTGATCCAATTTGTCAGCAGAGACTTCGGGACAACTATCAATGCATACTTAACAAGACCTTGATCAAACATACCACTCATAAATGCAATCACTTGGATTGTTTTACCAAGCCTAAAACGAGATGAACCCAAACATATACCTATTATGAAATTACTACATTCTATAAAGATATGTCGAATAGGCAAATAGGGAAGTTATAAGCTATTCCAAATAACTTATATTATTCATAAAGGGAATTTTTAGTAAGTGCTGGAAAGTTGGGCAAATTTTACAAAGAAAAAAGCTTACATCTTCCATTTTCCAATAACCATAATTTAGATATATTGGAAAAATGTAAAATGTTCCAGCCAAAAGGTGGATGTGCAAAACCTCGTATAGTTTCAAATATGCATCAAAATGCCTTAGGAAGGCCTTTTTTGAAAGAAAACAGATTTCTGCAGGGTTATTAATTCATTGAACTTTGTTTGCAAAACAATTTTCACCACAGACATAGGAAGCATTTAAAAATTGTGGACACATGTAGAGAAAAAGAGGTGCTGGACCCTCAGTTCTTATGTCTATGAGTTTCAACATATATTTGACGTTTATGGATAACATTTCTATCATCAGTGTCATCAAGTGGAAAAACTTCGCTACAGCAACCCCTGTCTGGACAAATTTTGCTAGAGTTACAGTGAAAGATTATAAGCTGGCTTGGAAGCAACCTGATAAATGTTTCTTTCGTGCAAGTGCTAAAAGACTTTTATAAACAATAACCAATTTATAAACAAAATGAAAACACAAACCCCATATCATCTCCTAAAATTCCTCCTTTCTTTTCAGTATAGAGGTTCCAAAACCATCTGACTCCATCTTTCTGATAAGGATAAAGCTTATCCCAGCATTCCTTATATATCTTGAAGCCATCTACATTTTCATAGTGATTGCCAACATCTTCAGAGTCACTGTCATCAAGTTCCAATTCCTCTAAAAATTTCTGTAATTTAATAAAAATTCCCTTTTAGAACTAACAAGATTCAAACAAATTTGGCTAGAGAAAAGTTTATTATTTGTACAATTAAAAACTTGGATGACTTGTATATTGTTTTAAATAAAAAATCATCTTCTTACAACTCAAATGAATATACATTTGCGACTTCAAAATTAAAACATTTGTATGGGCCTATGTTGCATCTGCAGATGGACCTGCCTCATTTCTAATGAATCCTTTGAATTGGATTATATTTTTGGCAGATTTTAATTTCTCTAACAAAAGGTCTTTCACAAATGAATTACATATATCTGCAATCACCCTAATTTACAGATTTTTTAAGTTTATGATTGTTTATATGCCTAATCTTTTTCCAATAATCTTGAATAATTAAGCGATATATAAAGAACCACCACCAAAATCACCACTTACAGTTAGTTTTGTGATTTTATGCTGTAATTTTTCAGAAGAATGAATAGATTCTGCTTTTTTATAAGAGGCAAGTGCTTCATTGTAGAGACCTTCTTTTATTTTCAGCTTTGCATCTTGAATGTGCTCATAAAATTTCTCTAACAAAGAAATAAAAGGACAAATTAAAGGCAATCTGTCCCCTCAATGATTGGCTAAATATGAACAATAAGTCTTCCTGTCTTAACGGATAAGGGATTACGAGCTTGCTTTTGCTAGCCTAGCTGCAGTAGTGGACAACATTTGAAACTGTGAGCAAAAAGCTTTTGGGAATTGCAAGAAGATTTAATTATTGGGATATGATAATGGAAGCATTTCCTTTTGCTGTTGACATGTCTGTTGCAGAAACAGCACAGCTTCACTACAATGGGAACACAGCCATTTGAAAACAAACTTTGATTGGTTTAATTCGTTTAATTATCGATCAAGCTCAATGGTGCACGAATTTCACTCCCATGAAAATAAAGTTGAGCAAAATAGGGGACAGACTGCCTTTAAAGTGAGATTTGGTAAAGAAGCCATAGATCACTACGAACACTAAAAATATTAATACTTTTAAAAATATTCAGTAAAATGAATGACAGGAAAATAAAGTTTGTAATAAACAAAATGTATTAATACTGCCCAGTAATACTTTAAATCTGACATGTAAATGACATGTCATTCTCATTTGACATGTAAATGTTCAATCAATCTAATCATTGATCAGTGGCATCTTCCAGCACGTTTTATCCATTAAACTTTTATTTCATTATTTCTTGCACTCTGACCATTATAGCGATACTCGGTCCTGCTCAATATCGATGTAGATGTAGAAATCGTGAATTGGCAGTATTTTCCGTATAACCGTTCAAATGTAATCGATATAATTAAATTTTATAGCCTAGCTGATCCTAATCGCCCAGTCAAAACATTGAATAAAAAAAGTTAGCATTAGTGTTAACATAATTCTTTTTCTCATAAACAGCATATGGACAAGGCTTAGATACAAAGGAGAAAAAATTTCCTGTAAACGGCCTAGGTAAGCATGGAATAGCAGGAAACCCTCTAGCTTTAACGATAACAATAAATCAGCTCCTTGTGATCAAAAAACTGAAATATTACTGTTTACCTAAAAAAACAATCAACCTTAATCAAAATAAAAAACATGCAGTACTTTTTTTCGCTTCGAGGTCGTCTGAACTCTCCTCCATCTTTTTTCCCGCCAATGCCGAAGATTTGTGTCTATTAAGGTGGCTCGTCGATCGTCTATCCGAAGACATTGTGCCTTGCGAGCAGTAGAAAATTCCGAATAAAATCATTAAAATCAAAGGCTAACAAACGCTGCCTTTTGCAAGCACAATTAAGAGACCAGTCATTATTAACGGTGGGGGTGGGGTGGAAGAATTTGAGGGTTCCATCAAGAATTCTTCTCCCTTCAAGGGGGGGGGGGGACTAGGTGAAATAATGAAACGCAAGAGGGGGCCATAAATAATGTCCGTCAAAATTGAAAACTGTTATTTCATTAAGAATTATAAAAACTGTAAAAATAGTTATAATGAACGTTCATCATTAAAAATCAAAACAAATCAAAACAAACGTTTAACGTTCCGAAATGACTGCATCAAATCGTTTTGAAATGTTTCTTAAGCAAATCTAAAAAACATGTTTCCTAATTTTTTTGCTCGCTTCGTTCGCAGGTTGTCCGCGTTTCCCCTTTTGCCCCAGGGGCCTTTATAACCTCTCTGTGCCCTTCAAAATACCTGATACAATATTAGCCAATACTAAATGATCAAACAAACTACATATGTCAAAAATCAAAACTGCTTGCGAATTGTATATCTAATTACAATTACAAGGCTCCATGATCCAAGATGTTATCTTGTCGAAAAATCGTAGGCCTGAAGCCCCCCAAAATGAAAGGCTGAATTTCCGCCACTGAAACAAATAGTTTGATATTTTAATTTATGTCTCAAGTTAATTTCTGTAAACTTTATATCATTTAGACAGTAAATGTGCTGTCTTTCCATGTTGGCTTTGAAAAAATTATTTTTGGATTTTAGGGGGGGGGGGGGAGAACAACATTGTGGCTGAATGAATTTGAGAGGCCAAGAAAATAACTTAACCCTTCCAAAAATATCTTCCGCTTCACCCCACCCATTAACAATGACTGGTCTCTTGATTCTCTTTCCAGTAAGAATTTTTGCAAATTTGTTTGTGCCTCGTTGAAAGAAAGTAACAGTCCATGTCAAAAGTTGTTGGAGCACCATACACTTCACATTTAAAAGTTGAACACCACTTGATTTAACTACCTATCTATCAGGGCTGTCATCCTAAAGAGGTGAGGGCTACGCTGAAGGCAACTTCTAGCTTCTAGAAGCTACACTGATTGCCATACCTGATATACTTGTGTTAAAGAGTCCTTGTCGTATATTAAAATCAACCAAAAAGACTGATTGGACCTTGCTGATTCAGAGACAAACTATAATATGTATAATAGAAGGGGTTAACAAACCCGAATTTTTGAATGAGAAAGGAGAGAACTATAAAGACAATTTATTTTGCTGAAGTGAATATACTCTCTATGAACATCTGAAATTCAAATGATAATGAAAAAATATACTTGGAAAAATGATACAAGTTACAAAATTTCGCCCATCATCCTTTGAATTATGTTAAAATCCATACTCTTGCCTAAATATTTTTTAGGCTTTTCAGCAAACTGAAGTTAAATATCCAATCTAAGGAATTGCAATCACAAATCTAACATAAACTGCTAGCGACATTTAGCAGATGAACGCTTTGAGGCGAATGGAGCCGCAAAAGCAAGGCAACTGTACAGACAATAATGACAACACAACATGATTTATCTTTTCTCAAACATTCATTCTACTAAATTTATAAGTCATACAAAGCTTTAAATAAACCAACCAGCAACTGTGTTCGCACTTACACAATTCTGTGGCACTAACAAGACTATTTAATGTAGTGTATGTATGTTAATAATATTGATTATAAGAGCATAGACGTGTTTCCAGTTTCTAAGTCAATGAACGAGAAACTAAGAGCTTTACTAGTATCATATTAAGGAAGACAATGTTAATGGAATAGGGTCAGCAAAACATTCAGGACTGTGCCTTCTGATCATTGAAAGAAAGCGGAACTTCGAGACAAGTGTTTAGATGTTCCTAGTCATTGGAGAAAAGTGACCTGTTCTTGCTATTCTAATTCAAATTCTTGCTTTTTTATCGATAGCACTACCCCCTTGCATTAAGGGCCTAGCAATCGCCTTATATAGCTTGTTAAGATGCTTGAGCTAGTTGGGGGGGGGGGGGGTCAAATCTTTTATGTTGCAAAAAGGGGACAGTATTCTATTGAGATAACAGAACAATGTCACCCATAATGGTAGGGAAATTTTAACCACCCCCCCCCCTCACCCAACGTGAGTACACAAAAAGATACTGTAAGAGAGAGATGTACTTGCAACCGATTGAATGGAACCTTGCCAATATATATTTTTCAAATATAATGTTATACACAAGATCTTTAAACTTTGTTTCTAGAAATAAATAGAGTTGGATGAATAACAAGCTAATTCCATCAATTTGAGTATAATACAAGGCAGTTTAGATATTTTGGAGTTGAAAACTATACAGTTCGCCTTGATGTATAGGTAGCAAAAGGGTTTGATCGTAAGAGTCTTGATTCTTAATTCAAATGCTACAAAGAAAAAATGCTACTTAGGTACTATCCCTAGCAGAGTTCTTTTCGTAAAATACAATATTTATAAAATATGACATATAAACAAATACAATCGCAAAACCACATCGAAAGGTAATTATCGATATCAAATCAATACCAACATTTACACATTGTAAAATTTCGTAATTTTAAGCCCTTGCTTTGCCGTTGATTTCGCCGCATAAAAAATAGCTCTGATTTTATCAATAGAAATTTGAAACTATTTACCAGTCATGCCCGTAGCCAGAGAAGAAGCAAAGGGTGTGCCCCTTCTATCATTTAGATTCTAAGACCAAGTATTTAAGGGCTCTAAGGTTCTAAGACCCTCAGTCAGTGTCAACAGGCATTGACACTCTCCACGAAAGTAAGAGGACCACTTCTCCCTAAAAACCTCAGCTACGGGCCTGATTCTATTTACTTCGCTTCATTTTCAGCTAAAGACTGTACTAACTCACAGTAAACAGCACGCTCTTTTTCAAAAGAGTGCTGATCACAAATGTATTTCTTAGCATTGTCAATCAGCTTGCATCTGAGGCTTTCATCAGATAACGCTTCTTCAGCGAGACTCCTAAACTCCTGTTGGAAAGCAAAATATAGTGTTAAAAGCGTCCAAAACTGAAAATTTATCAAAATAAGAAGGATGTCACGAGTTAATTACAAAGCAAACAGTTTTTATATTTTAGTTTCTATAGATATAAATTAAATGCACTAGGTTTTTGGCGATGCTTGGAGATAAATCGAATGTAGAAGGTTTTTGGCGATATACAAACTTCGAGGGTCATGGCGTGTCCAAACCATCGATACCTTTTTGCCTATTAATAACCGTTAGTCTCGCAAGAACGGAAACTCTGAAATAGGTTTCGACATGAAATAGGTTTCGATATGTTCAGGTAAGATTTCCACGAACCATTTTGAAGGTATAAAAGGTAATGTAGTTTACCATACAGCAATACCTTACTTGAACCATAAATAAATCTTAAAAGTTACAGTTTAAATTCCATTTAATTCCAAGTCGTGTTTAGAATCCGTGTACATGATAATGAAAAGCTGTCTTAGTTCATGTAGACAAGAATGAGTTCGTTTATCCATATAATATTTTCAATAGGCAAGCGGCACTAATTGGGAGATGTTCTATCAAACTGGTATATATTTCTAGCAGTTGCTTAATAAGTTTCAATCAATATTCTGAGGTATCATTCCTTTGAAGAGTGATTAGACTGAAATAACGCGTATCCGTTAAATCCTTTACTCCCAGTTAAAGGCTGGTATAAGGTACGACACATCTGGCCACAATCATGCCAATGTTATATTACGACTGGACGTGATAATCTCGACAATGTGACGGCGACATTCCAAACCCCAATCATTAACAAACTTTCAAATACAGCATTACTTCAAATAATTATTTTAATGGCCACGAAAAATTACTTTGAATTCAAGTACAAAAATTTTCAAGGCAACATTGACAAAGAATTCATACCTCTTCGAAAGCTTTTCAGCTAAGTGAGTTTTGGAAAATTGCTCTTCTATG